CGTCTCTCATGGAGCTCAACTACTGGTGTCAGCTAGGAGTTGGCGATCGTCGAGGCGGCTTTGACTGGTTCTATCCGCGATGGCCGAAAGGCTGCGACAAAGATGAGAATGGCGATGTCGTGCGTGTAGTCAGCGAGGGAACGTACTTGGAGGGCATGGGATGGATCAGCCGTGACCGAGCAGTGGTTCCCAGCGTGCGTGCTGCTGAAGAAGAATTGGTGAGCCAATGTTGGCAGGGCCTCGGAATGGATTTAAGCAACTGGCATGATTCACTTGATATGGCCTCGTGGGCAGACAGCGTGATAACTTCTTCGCCCAGCGAGAGGGCTGTCGCGCTAGATGTATTCTCCGAGTTCTCTGATCTCATGAGCGCGGCTGATGTCTGCTCTGATGGGGACTTTGGCCTCAAGTTCCAGGTGAGTAGTCTGAATGACGCTCAACATCGTGCGACTATGGCTAACAGATACGCAGGAACCTCTCGATCCCACACAACCAGATCTCCCTATCAAAGCCCGTGATGACTTCATTTTAGGCCGGCGCCTACTTGAGGCCCCATTCCAAACTGACTACACTCACACGGCCACCACTATCGCCACCGGTCTCAAATGCGCCGCTCGACAGCTTCTCCAATCCGCACCCCTACGACACGGCAGTACAGTCAATATGGATTGTTTCCAAGAGCACAGCGCAATCCGCCAAATGAAAAAGTTCTTTGTCGCTCCTTCCCGAGAAGAAGCAGTGATCAACCGCTATGATATGGCCATGGCTTTCGATCCCATCGCTATCTCTGAGAAAGCAGCGGCTATGATGGCCACCAGTCTCGAGCCGTCAGTTTTTGACCGTACTATGCGTATGATCACTCTTGAGGTGGCACCCTATGTGCGCAGTATCATACACTACGATTATCGTCTCATGCAGAATCGCATGCAACGGAGTGGTCTATTCAGTGAAGGCGGCAGGCAAGGGAAGAGAATGCGTAGTACTCGTGCCGCCTATTCGGCATTGGAGGGTGTCGCGCGCGGCAACATGCGCAAGGAGAACTATTTTGCCGCAGAAATCAGCACTCCTCTGGTCATGAGAACTGCAGGAGAAGGCTGGCAAGCTGCCGTGGATGAGGCCATGAGCTTGATGGAGCAACCGCCAAGTCCAGCCGCCGAAAGTGAACCTTCTGTGGAACCTCCCATGGAAGCGAACAACGCTGTTGTATCGACCGCCGAGGAATAGATGAACATAATGAGTGCATTGCATTTGGGAGAAGCGAGAGTACAAAGGAAGAAAGGGCGATTTGGCGCAGGTGAAGGAGTACAACGGAATGGTGTGGAAACTGGCAGGAAATCCGGCTTAAATAGTATGGCCAAATAGCATGTCATCGTAGCCATTCATCTTACTTGGCTTTATTTCACCGGCTGCTCCAAAGGTTGCGACTGTGATGCCGTCGACTCACATCCGCATGAATTCAAACGGCTAATAGTAATCAGACCTCCGCCGGGACCTTCGATCCACGTACTCTGGCTGGCGGGGTGGTGAAGGAAATCGTTGATCACCGCGCCGGCTCCAATCCTCCACGGCTTCATTGTATCGCGGCCTTGGTAGACGCTCCTCCACGAATCGACTCCCGGCAGCTTCTGACCTGTTTGACTGCTTCTCATATCTCACCATCTCATTCTCCCCCTCCGCGCCGACTCCACGCGATCGCCCTCGGCTATCCCCTTCGATTCTACCTCGTCTTTCGAAGCGCTCGCTCGGAGACGGGAGGTAGTCATCAGAGTAATACGAATCCCCTTCGCTCTCACTTCCATAGCCGCGCGACCGTCTGCCGCCGCGGCTACGGGGAGGGTGGTACTCCCTCTCGGACAGCCTCCGTCCGTCGCGGGGGTAGTCGTTGCGGTCCCAGACGTTGTGGTCGTCGTAGTCGATATACCCATTGTGGCGGTCCCGTATGGCGTTGCGCCTGCGGGACCGGCGGCCACCTGGTGGTGGCGAGTGTTCCCAGTGCTCCTTTTCTGAGTGAATTATGCCGCGCGGCCAGAGCTTGTGGACGGCGAGGGAGGCGACGGCAATGGCGGCGATGAAGACGGCTGCGGTTTTTATGCCGGGTTTCTTGTGGTGATCGCGGGGTCCCGCGGAGGAGGAGCGCGAGCGGGAGGATGGGGAGTAGGAGCGCCGCGTCCGGGCCATGGTTGTGTTTCTCGACCGGGTTGTGTTTATGAGGGCGCGACTGCGGTGGCTGCTACTAGACTGAGACATGCGCGGTGATATGTGAACAGCAGTGTGTGCGTCGTTTAGAGATGAGAGCTAGGTAGGTATTCGTGTTGTTGTGAGATGTCTCGGGTGTGTTGACGCCGTCAATGAGACCGGCCTGTTCGAGTGAGACAGGTTCTTTGGTGGTTTGAAGAGAAAGCTCGGTGACAGGAAACCTGTAACAGGAGATTACTCGGACCGGAGGTCGAGGTAAAAGGGGAAATGAGACCACTAAGAGGAGAATGAGGGCGAGGATTAATGAATGTAAATGACGATGAGCCCGTATCTGGAGGCTAGTAGGCGGTGCGAAAAGCAAATGGGACTTTGGGAGCCGGCTCGTTGGGCTTCTTCCCCCGGTATCAGAGCCCGAACTCTGAGGGGTTGGGATCGTCCGAGCGAGGGTCAACCCGGCACGTCGGTCTTGAGTGGGAATCTGGCGCGAGCCTTTGGGTTTCTTAGTGGGTTGGTCACGCAGAGGGAGAGAGAGAAGCGCAGCGAGTTTTTCCGACTATATGCGTAGTAAAAGCCTACTGCAAGGACAGCGCCGACGGCGGCTGTGCGTAATTCTCTTTCTGCGGCAGACGTACGGCTTGGGTAACTTGCGCAGCGTGTGGGAGGAGGAGCAGCAGATAGGTTAGAAACAAGTCCGGTCTACGGCTGGCTCGGGACGATGCCGTCAACACAGGGATCTTTCTTGTGGGATGGAGGGGAGGGGAAGAGAGACGGGCGAGTCAAGAACTTTGGGGGGGGAGAAAGGCAGAAGGCGAACGGAGGGACGGGTTAGGTATTGACTTGTTGATAGGGTCGGATGGAAATAGACGTGGTTTGATGGGTGATGGGTGAGATTTATGGGAGGACGGAGCGCAAAGGGTTTGGGTGAGAGGGAGGTTTTATCGGATGGTCTGAGAGTCGGTGAGGGCTTGCAGGATGACCGAGAGGCGCATTCGATGAAAGTAAGCAAGTTAGTTCACTCGATACCGCGCGATAAATGTGAGTTGTATGACAAGAGGGCAGATGGTCAAATGTTCGCAATCTTGCGGGGGAAAGGATCCGATAACAATGTGAGGAGAAGATATGGAAGACTTCTTGTCAGACCGGGAACCCGTGGTGTGGTTGTGATATTACTTGGACGTTGTGTGGTTGTGTGCAGACAGACAGGGAAGAGCGAGACAAGCTTTCCTTGGCTCGGATTCGATCCCCGGAACTCTGATGCACAGAGGACCACGCGGGTGGTTTAGAAGAGAGTGGCATAGGGATTCCCTTTGCTCTTCGCCCTCACCCTTTTGACGGTTCCCTCGGCCAATCGTTTGCCTGCCTGTCGAAAGGAGGCTCTGTTTCTGTGGCTCTCTTTTGCCTCCGATCAAGCGATTGATCGATTGAGTTATTGCCTCGGATGAAGAGCCGTACGTTACTTCTGGTAGGTGGCAATCTGGGGATTCGATGGACATCTGCATTACGACTTGAGTCGGGAAAGGAACGTCCCGACAGGTGGACAATGGATCCTTGGGATTTTGGAAAGTGAGTGATGGCAAGGCCTGGAACCTCATTGCCGTCTATTGGAGGGTGTGTTGGCCGTTTAGATTGTGTTAGATCTGTGTGAGACAGAACAGGAGATGGGCGAATGATGAAGTGGGTGAGGTTTTAGAGGCGGGCTAGTCTACGCGTGCTTGCGACGTGATGTTCAGCGATTGGCCAATGCGTATTGAGGCCTACGGGTGTGACGACACGCAGGTATGGTCTAAAGCGACGGATTTTCTTATGGGGGACGACTTGAGGTTCGGTAATACGAGTTTGATGGTGATGGTTGTAGCATGCCTCGAGGTAGAATGTGCCGATGAATATGTTTGGTTGTTAGGTCTTCGATATCTCATAGGGTACGTCATGAGATCACCTAGCAAAGAATAAGGTGGGGAACCGGTTCCGGTATAATCATGGTCTCTTACCAATGGCTTTCATCTTGCATCTTAGAGATTTATGTTGACAAGCAGGCCGGCTTGGCAACAGAGTTTGAGCCTAGCCTGTCATCCTCCTTACGGAGCCGAGACTGAAGTCATCTCTCTCTCAGCGGCCCTCCAATTCCGTGAACAGCTTCGGGGTGTTGTACAGGATGACTTCACTGACGAGCGCAAGGAAAGGAAGGCTTTTTTATTCTGTTTTCTTTCACAACCCGTGGCTGCCGTGCCTCGTATGCGCGACCTAGGGTATATGAGAGCTTTTGACTTTCTCTGCAATGAGATAGCTTAGAGCATCTACTCATGCGAGACTCGTGATATATTATTTCATCTCATTGATACTGAGGTGTTGTTAGAAGCTTCATCACCAAAGACTAACCATACTCTCTCAGTAATGACCTTGTGAGAGTTCACCATCATAAGGCAGCATGAAACCAGACGTGATCATGTTTGTGACTGGCGCTCGACGCAGGAAGTCTCGGCTCATCTGTCGTGAACAGCTGAGCAGCCAGTTTTTCATTTATCATAGCTGGACCCTGGCGACACAGATACTTGACCAATATGTCATGCATCTGGCTGGCCCTTTGTTCAAGTGATTAAATACACACTACGACTGAGAGATGTGGCTGGTCATAGACGTCTGAAAAGGAATAATATCATAGCAGCTTAGCTAGAGAGTTTTATTCATTTCTTCTAATATCCCGTACGCCAGAAATTCCAAGCAAGTTTTGAACACAATACAAAGTCCCTCCAAAGTCCTGAGTACCTTACTAGCAAGGAAACATCTATCTTCCTGGAAGTACTCACTCACAGGATTACCAACAAGAAAGCGAGCAAGAACATCCACCCTCCCAACCTCGTCCAAGATCTGCGCGGAGCCTCTCTCAACGTGGCCGCCATCCTTCTAAACGTGTCATATTTCTCACTTTTCAGAGCGGCCTGAAGATCGGCCAGGTCCCGCTTCATATCACCTTCCGCGGGCGTGTAATTCTTCTGCATCTTCATCTGCTCCAGCAAGTCCGCAGCAGTCCATCGCCGCTTAGGATCTGGAGTGAGCATCTTATGAAGCAGGTCCTCGACGAATCGGTGAGGCGAGGGCTCACAGCCACGGCCCCGGGGAGCCAGTGGGTGAATGCCAAATTCTGCGCCATCGGTCAGGTCAGGCTGGATCAGCCTATCCGACTCCCACCGTTCCCTCGCGGATCCGCGGCCGTCGTAGTAAACGCCGAATCGGTGACAGTGCCAGAGGACCATGCCCAGCATCCAAATGTCGGATTCGAACGTCGGCTTTGTGTTGGCGCTGAAGCCGTAATACTTGCCTGGACAGCGTAGCTCAGGGGCCGTGTAGCAGTCGTTGCGTAAGTTGTGGCTCAGGACTTCTGGAACGAGGCCGTGTCCGAAGAGCTTGAAGCGAACGCGCGACGAGTCTTCTGAGGGGAAGGGGAATACGTTATGGAGGCGAACGTCTCCGTGTGCAGTCCCTGTTGCGTGGAGGTAGGCGAGGGCAAGGAGGAGGTCCCAAGCTACGTCGAGGACTATATGGTCTTGTGTAGTACCTCTCGCGGATCGCCATGATCCCTGCATGGGAAGTCTCTCGACGATGAAGACCTTGTCTTTTGGAAGGAAGTCGAGATACCTTACAATCGTTTTCTATACCCACCGTGTGTCAGCATCTCATTCATGAACTCGGGGAGGACGGGTAGGTTGAACTTGCAGGAGAAGCCTCTTTGGTGGGCTTTACCAAGTCCGCTGCGAGATTCGCAAGCTTCTCTTCCCGGGTAGCATCGAGTTGAGGAAAGCCGACAAACGTCACGTCTCTAATGCCGTCAGCATCTCTCGCAGTGATATACCTACGGCCGTCTCGCAGAGATCGGAAGTTGGGTTCGTCGCCGACGGGACCTTCGTCCGAGTGTAGGATGCCCTTGAGGCTCAGGAGGTTCCGATTTGCTTCTCTGTGCGACATGATGATGATTTTGCAACTGAGCTGCTTTTTCGAACTGATATCTGAATCAAGGAGACGTCTACCATCGTGTATGCTGGGTAAGATATATACAGATAGGCCCTGTCCATCTCTGTCGCTGGGTTTTTTTTCGTCTCCTTGTCTATTGTTTCTTCGCATCGCCTACCTGGTTCCTGTTTGTTCCTGAAAGAGGATGAACCAACCGTGCTCAACATTTTCGCAATAAATCATTCTTTCAACTTGAGAGTCCTGTTGGCAAGGAAAAAGTGAAGTCAAAGGCAGCCGTAGGTTGTTGTTCGGGAGTAGAAAACAAGGTCGACGTCTAAAAGATACTCAAAGCATTGTTCCGGAGACAATTGGTTTGGCGTATCTCGAAACATCCACCACCCAAATCTTCTCTTTGATTTGATTTGAGATCGTTTCGGGGGAGATGATCTTCATCTTGAGTTTCTTTCCTCTCGGCGGATTAGCAAATTAAGTCACTTCATGCCATGCAGTGTTAAACGTATAGTCGCATTATCTCTGTCAAGAAACCAAGGTACTGATTAACAAACATCTCTCAAGCATTCAAAGATGCTATCACGCTTCAGACACCCATGAGAGAACCCAAACAGAGTTTCAGTAGACATAGTACCGGCGACCCTTCGTTCAAGGATGGCATATGTGCATCTGGTCTCCCTTCCAACATTTCCAAGAACATCGTCGTCTATTCCCATCAGTCGCAGCCACATGCTAGACATAACTGGCGAACAATAGAGTTCTGCAAGGTAACCTCCCCTTTCGAGGGACTCATTAAAATCTCCATGTAACACCCACAGAAGGTTACATAGGCTCATCTTCTCCTTGCCGCCCATATACTTGTGCCTCGAATGCCCAAACAAGTCAAACCGAGAAGCCAGCCTAGGTCAGGCATAGGCTGTGTTCTTGAAGGCTTTCATCTGTACGGGCTTAGATACCCGTTTCTAGTTACTGGGAAGAAACCAGAAACATCATAACTGGCCGTGTTCCTTGAGACCGACCCTTTTCATTGAATGTGACTGGAGATGCCAGTTTTCACAAGCCCAGTTGACAGGGTATGGATCAAGATAGCAGTCAAAGACCATTGGAAAGAACACGACTAGTGAATGTGAGATGACCAGACAAGACTGCCGAGCATTGATACGTAGCATGAGTATGATCGACCGCAACCAGCCTTCATGTAGATGTATCTAGCAAGTGAGCAGCATCGCTCTGAAGATGGACCACGGATTTGATCACCATTTATGCATCTTTACATGAACGATTTTGGTTCATAAGGGGCCACTCGTACTTTTCGGACAACTGATCTAGAGCACAAGGACGTTACCTCCTAGGATTCAGTACATCGTGGGTAGTTCAAACAGCCAAGTCGAGAATCGGTTAGACTTCGGACTATAGGTGGTCTTGCCGACAGTCAGCCGGAAAATTTCCGTAGATGACTGGTACGCTGAATGGCATGCCTGCATCGAGATTCACCTGCATCACCCAAGAGTAAGTATAAAGTCGGCGGGTATGGTCGACCAGCGCTCATAACTACCGTCACCAAAGAAGATCCTCATTTCAAGTCCCGAGGGTCAGGTCCCTTCACAGTACCACCAAAGGAGACTGACGTCGGTTCCGGGTGGGTGGTCGACGATACAATTGTTTATATACAAGTGTAGGAAACGAGAATGAGTACGTGGTGTCTATGCCACCTTGCGCGGGAAGGGCCCAATGCTGCAGTCTGTCACTTGGCAGATGATAGATCGGGCTCAGTCAATCGAATCAGAATCGATATCGTAAAGTGAACGTCCACAGCACTCCGCGGCCCCGGGACGGCCGGCCGGAGGTAAGTTCGTGGTGTTACGCCAGCGTCGGCGACGGGCGGGGGGGACTAATGTGGAGGCGCGAAGCCCAAAAGAAACCACCATGACCACCACCAGAAGTATCCATACTCGAAGGTGTGCCAATAGTCGGATCAGCGCGGGGCAGGCTCCGGGGACGCCAAATTACAGACGGTCTTTCTCAGCAAAAGTGATTGGAGCCTTGGCCTTGGAGGCTCGCTACTGCCAATGGAGACAGAGGCTTTTGTGTGCCAGTGGGGAGTCGTCATCACTCAGCATGATCTGCCTGAGTCGCTGCGATGGGCCTGACACCCCATCGTGATTTGTCCATGGACGAAAACAGGATCGAGACTAAACCGGGAATAGGGGGTAAATTCGTGAAAACGGGGATTCATCTTTCGGTGGGCGGTGTCCATTTGTGATGGCCAAATGTATCGCTGTAGCCTGTCCCGTACACCGGAATGAATGGAGTGAAGACTGAACGGCAAGCAGGGAAGCAAGGAAGTGGGAGAGAGAAACAACGTGCCTGCAAATCTTTTCGTCATTTAGCCACCGTCTCCATTGATATCGGCTGTCCTTGCAGATGCAACAAAGTGAGGGCTGCTGGGGTAAAGGAAGGCAAAGTGAGATGGATTTTCCAGACTTGCATGTCACGCCGGGTCCAGGAAGGGACCAAAACAATTTGACAATTCGGCTCGAAGGGTTTGAGGGATTGCTTGCCTTGCCATGCCCCGCTGGCTTCAGTCACGTCCAGCTCCATAGCGAGCAGGTGGTCGACTGATGAATGTCAAGGTATCATTGGGTACATAGCCATTCCCAGGATTCCAGCGGCTGGGGATTGTTGCTGCTGCGAGTTATCTGAGTAAACAGCGCCATTTCCTAATGACAATGCTGGCGACGAAGCAATTCGTAGTGGAAGGTCTTGTTCCGCAGTGGAGATATTGTCCGACTGCGACTTGTTCGCCAAACTAGGTTTGGCCATGCCATGAAGAGGGAAGTAACAGAAGAACACAGCCGTCCCCACCACCTGGCGCCGAGGACTGTTAGTTCCTCTGATACCGGTCCGACCGGCTTGTCAACGTGCTAAGCATTCAATGTGACTGGGCAGCTGAGACTTGTCGAACCCATTTCTACAGTGTCCTGGAGTAGGAAGAGTAAGGAGGACAACCAAGACCATGTTTAGGCGAAGTCAAGCTGAAGGTCAGATGGAGTCGTGAATGCAGGACTGACACCATGCCAATGTCGGATATGTGGCACCAGACTGGCCGGACTAGGCTTCGGTTGGCGAAATGCAATGGAAGCCGAAACTTGAGTTGGCGATCTGCCAAAGGAGGTGCCGTGGACAAATACCTACTCCGTATGCACTTAGTGACCCAAGGGTAGCACCAGATGGGCCCGGCCGGTGCTCCGGTGCGGCAGACTCTCCGAAGCCAACCTGGAGTGCCGCGACGAAGGTTACCAGGGATAGGATCGGACGAGAAAGCCAGTATCTGTACTCCGTACAAAATACCTAGACCCCAGAACTTAGCTGAACTCGATCACTCCAAGCACGGTGTGACAGACAATCAAGTACGAGGTGCGCCGGTGAGTCCTTTTGATGGAGCTTGCATGGGACGTAGCAAGAGTACAATTAGTAGCAAGAGTACAATTAGGAGCAAGAGATGATGACGGTTTCGTGAATACCGATATCGCTCTTGACCAGTCAGTTTTCACCTGGACACCAACCGAGGCCGAGATCGAGCAGCATTCAGAAGGGGCTGATGTGATTATGACTGAGGGAGAAAAAAGCAAGCGAGCAGCCGACTGACTCTGTCATGCAGCTACTGAGGCCCAGGGGCGTAGTGACTAAGATGGTTTGTACCCGAATCCGTAGTCGAAGGCGACATGCCCCCCCGGGGGGGGGGGGGGTTCGTTGGTTGGGCGACTGCAGATGTGGTGTCCGAGCTCGAGGTGAAAGGGGGTGGTGGCTCTGTGAGCGATATTATCCGCAGTGAGGACTTCGGACTGAGGAGTCTGAGAATATGCCATTGAAATAGCGGCGGTCCAGTCCAGATGAGACTGGCTAGACACGGCATGGAGCAGGGTAGCTCAATCATACAACAATAAGCCACAAAGAGGCCAGGTAGTAGCCGTATCCACGGAGTACTACGTAGACTGCGAAGACCAAAGGTACCTACCTGTGTTGGAAGAGTCTGAAGTCGAGCCAAGGGGGCAATCAAAGACGAAGAGGATTGTTGGGGCCGGGCTGCCAGAATCGGGACAACCAGTGTTGGCGATTCTTGGACTTGAGGCGCTGGACGCGAGACAAAAGCGTGCGATTTGTGTACGACTCTATGTCCGACATACGGTATGTTGTGGCTGATATCGACAAGTGTTGGTAACGGCTGCGGTGGCATGAGTATCTAGCTGCTCCCGCGGGTGTACCATGGCCCGGAGTATCCATCCATCATGTCCGTCAATATCGCTTGGTCTGGACAGGCCGGTGTGGCAAACGGAACGGAGACAGGCTTGAACTTTGAGAATGCATTTTTGCATGGGACAGAGAGAAGCAGGTTTTGAGGAGTGATGGTGATGGTGGTGATGGTGGAAGTGACAGACAGGCGGTTTGTGCTTGGTGCAATTATCTAAGCATTCGAGATGACTGGGTTGGAAATTATGTAAGCGAAGCTTGCTTAGGCCGAAGGGACGTCCCTACCTTACCTTGTGGACGTGGTGCCTATGGTAGGTAGGTACCTTAGGCCCGGAACGTGGCACTTCCCATTGGATGTCCGTCTGGCAGGCCCTTTCATGCATCTTTCCTTGTGCTACCTACCTACTTGTAGGTTTTTGGCGCACCTGCCAGATGCATGCCTGCTTCCCTGCCTGCCTCAAGTCCCTGCCCCAAATGACATTGATTGTAAGGTATCCACAAGGTACCTTATGTGCGAAGTCACGTACGTATGTACTATTCGTAAGTACCTACTTGGAGATGGGAGAAGGAAGGTCCGAAGGTGACCAGCATCGCCTGCACCACCCAAACTGGACTTAATTTTCGTTCATAGCGAGGATGCTGTAGAAGGTGCAAGGAACGGAGCACTTGCAATTACAGATGGGAAAGAACGACGTTCCTCTTGCTTCCCATCTTAACAGTGGAGATGATGCTGCGGGTGGAGCCGAGGCAGCGACTTCCTTTGTCTTCCCTTGACCACATTCTTCCTACACCACTTGAATTACGGCGACGACCTCGACATCAATATCAGCATCAGCGCCCCATCCTCCCAACCTACCTTACCTTTGTTGATTGCCATGCCCTGATGGTCTGATATTATATCCAGCATGCAATGTGGGCATCGCCAAAGATTCAGCCACCTGCAAAGAAGAATCCAAAATCAAATACCTACATGTCCTCCACCACCATCATAACCAGCATCTAAACCAGCACCACCAAACCAACTTTACCCCTCGGCGACCATCAAAGCCACTAGGTATACCCTGTCGTGCCCATTCCCCCTCAAAAGACATGGAACAAGTCACCAGGCCATCGAGTCAGCAGGGACCGACGTCGTTTGCCTGTGCCGCGTTGCGTTATCCAGACCACGCACCAAGCTACTCCCAGCCGCCGCGGTTGACGGGCTCACTGGCCTTAGTCCCGTGCACATCGAGCCCCGCCAGCTCCAGCGTTCAAGCACTTTCAAGCAGCCAGGGGCTGGCTTCATGCCATCGCCCCTGTACGGCTACGTCGTGTGTGAGACAGACAGCATGGCGCCGCTCCTCCACCTCCGAGCCAGGCGGACGTCACCAGAAGGAGCCATGCCATCAAAGGGATCCTCCTGTCCATCGATTCACCCTCGCTTTACAGTTACATTGCCTCTTCACCACATGCTCAGTATTTGTGTGTTTTATCACACACACACATACACACACAAACCAGAGACACTGCAGCTGATGATTGCCAAACCACCGCCAACATAGTGCATAAGGAAGCGGGCTAGACGAGGTTTTGGGCAAATCGTTGTTCAGGGTCGGTTTCAACTCTCGTCGAGACTCTAGATACGGCTTATCGTAAGCGCGCCCGCCTATCAAGCACACCCTCCTACTCCCTGCAAGTCCATCGAATGGCTACACAGTACGGTAGACTGGCCGTGGGTTCAATTTGCATTTCACGGCCTGTCTGTCTCACCTCCACTACCAGCTAGTCTCCGTGAAAGATCTCGTTGCTGAGAGGCCTTCTGAAGCTCGGCCTACATAGTATCTAGTCAGTATACTATGTACGGGGCACCAACTCGTTATGCCTGCCGTAACTCAATCATTCAGGACCCTTGACACAGTCGGCCCTCGAGCTATGAAGCACCTGTCTCGGCCGCAGATAACATACACTTGTAACCTCGAAGATTGGTACGCGCAGGAGCACTGGGCTGCTAGCATTCCAGCATTCACGTTATCGACATCGACTACACGCACTGTACGACTGCCCTACGGATAACTGATGCCTTGGAACGGATCGTTGTTTGGGTTGTAGGCATAGCATTGTGCCATGCGGATGACTTTTTGGCATTTCGCGAGGTTGTCTTGAGGTACCTCGAAGTAACAGCTAAGAGTCCCACTCGATGCAATTGCTAATCCCAGATGCATAGGAAAGCACGAGTCTCATGTTGCCGCAACACACACTCCCATACTTTCCTTCCCACACGCTCAACTATTCACGAATCTGCCACACAGCGCCACAGGCGTCGCTCTTGGCGGCAGAACGGCGGGACAAACAGTCCATATTCTGGGCTAACTTCGCACTATGTCAGCAAAGAGTTCGCACCCAAATCTACGGATACGCGAGAATTGCTAGGCACACCCCGGTCGCCTTCGCTCGACAATGTGTGCCATAAACGCAACGCTAATTCGCTCTGGCACCCGAGGCACAAGTCACTAGCCTTTTCAGACCATCATTGCCTATACTGGCACGGCTGGCTCTGCGAGGTTCTGAGATGTTTTGAGCGTGGCTGATGGCCAGATCACGGCCTGCCCAGCAAACCATCCACCTAGCCGCTCTATCCCCGCCGGCCGGTTCGGTGACTTCGACATGGCCAAAAGCCCCGACGTCCAATACCAAAACTTGACGATGCCAGCCAGTTTGAACGGCAAGGGCTGTATCACAGTCTTGCGATTACAATCATGAGAACCGACTGGTTCTGCTTCGGGGATACCTCTGGACAGCGCTATCAAGGTTCCAGATGCCTCAAAATGCCCCGGTCATTGGCAAAAACTGCCAACGTCAAATCGGCCATCTCAGCGGTCGTCAATTACGGACACTTCGGCCTGGACGGCGGGAAACACGGAGGCCCGAGGCCAGTCCCTGATCCCTGGCTGACCCTTCTTGTTGGCGACAACTGGCAAATCCTTTTCTTGTGCTGGGTACGGAGTACATCCTCTCACCGTTGAAGTACATGGTCAAATATGCGACCGATTACAATATTTAATTGGCTGCCGCCCTGCGGTCCAGACACCTACACAGTTAAGATCGGATATGGAGTACGGGGCACTTCGGGTTGCGAGACTGAACACTCCGTACAGTGTTCTGGATCTTCAGACACGCCCCTCCCACCCTAGAAGGCTCTATAGCCCGCTCAATACCGCGATATTGACCAATTGTGGTCAAATTTTCAACCACTTCGCACTGACTCCCAAGCGTTATTATAGGTATGCTCTTGCTTCGCAAGGAAGCAGCAATCCTGCGACTCCGGCTCAAGCAAGATTGGCGCACATTCATTCGGAAACGATACGGATATGGGCGCAACTAAGGACTGCAATCCACACACGCCGCCAGTCTTCCGCCGCTTGATCGCATGGCCTAGGCAAAGAGGCCGACTCTTGCATGATTTCAGAGAGCCAAGACTGGGAAGAGTATCCGTATGTTCGCAGAAACGGCTTCGCGAAACACCGACCAGCGACAATTATTACAGAAGTCTACAAATCTCAAGCCGGGGTAGGGTAGCATGTCGAGATGCTGCTCTGAGGACAGACGGATGCTTCATTACCGAAAGAACCTTTGAAGTGTGCACAATAGCAGGAGATCTTGCTCGTCGAACTTGATACACTGTCCCGAATGCGACTGCTCAAAGTCTCGTATCCGTCCCACGCCACAAAATTGAGGTTGATAAGCTGATACCCATCGAGCCCGGCATGTAAATTGAAAGGAAAGGATAGGTTGTTGCGCATCACACTGACGTTCCGCATGCTAGACGACGGTGTACGCAATATGGAGTCAGTGGTCAGACTGCAGAACCCAGTTCCGTGTCGTGATCCCAGCTAAGATAGTGGGCGAGGCGACATGTGGTCTGCAACCTTTTCACCTGGGAAAGCTTCTATTGACACACTCAAGGCGTCCATCAAACAGTCAGGTTTGTTTCCACCGATCGACCGGCCGAGCACCACACCAACAGTCTGCGCTAGCCGAACGACAAGCCACATAGGCGACCGCACCGCCGCGGGCAGCGTTACGCCGTACTTACCTTCTTCAATATTTGGCGCCAGTAATGAGAGTGCCAGTTGAACGAAGACAGCACAAATTTGATGCTGACTTCATCATTAGGCTTTGAAGTCCTGAACACCGTCCCTATGGACCAGTACAGGCGGCGTTATAGCCCTGAGTTTGGCTGCGACTCACTACGAAACCGGTGCGGCGATGGCAAATTCGCGATTCGATTCAAAAGTAAGTAGTCCGTCATACCCCTGTCTGTGACATGCTTTCGAAGTTGTCCTGAAAGCCGCCTACAGGAGATGTGGCTTAGGCCACCTCTTTCCATTCTGTGGGGAGGTTCGCAACGCCAAAGAAGTATTGCGCAGTGGCAGTTCCTAAGTGACAAAACGGAAGACGAAGCATACGGGCACCCCCTTGGATTACAGTCATACACGCAGTCAATGGGAAGATTGCATGATTGGCCTGCGCGTTGGTTCGTTTGTGTGGTGCGATGAATGTTGGCTGGCCAAGGCTCACAGTCTTTGACCTTACTTTTACCACCATCGTGCGTTTCCCTAGGACAGGAGTGTGCATTCCAGAAGGGGAACATCATCATTTTCCGCTACTCCGAGAGGAAGTTTCTCACCAAGTAATCCTGCTTGACAATGACGAGGCTGAGATCGGGTCACACAGGATAGTACTCTGTTCCCAGTTCTTCTTTCACAATACGTACTTCGTACACAGAATGGCCGTTAGCCACCCAGAGCGAACCATTTTTCAACAGCAACATGAGTGTGTGGAGTGGTTTAACATGGCCTGTTCACGATCTCGGTCCCATGCCGCAGCCGGCAAGGGAACGATGTGTTGGGCCGAGCAAGGAATGCTGAGCACCTGTCGACGAAGCCCGATTGACGAATGAGATTTTGCTCCTCCTCCCTGCCGTTTCTCAGTTCACACTCACGGAGGCTACAGCCGATGCCCGAATTTCCGGACGAGCCATGCTGAGTGTGTCTACGAACCAGGCTCTAGTAAGAAGGAAGACTGCCGCACCGGGCTTACTCCTCCGTCGCAGACCGGCACCGGCGCCATTGGATTCGGGTGGGACAAGCCTGGGTCGAGATCTCATACCTAGTCTTTTGACAATTGCACGTTGCTAAAGTCGGATTCAACACGAATGAGGTAGACACATGCAGTACCAAGCAAAAACCCTCGAAACCCTGTCGGCAGGCCTCGCGGAGTCGCGGAGGATCAGACTCGAACTATGCATTCTCTTTGGGGAAACATCTCAACATGCAACGCAACAGACATGCCACAGGGGCGTTTGGGGAGGGCGCATCCTCATTATTCGCCGCCCACCGACGCGCATGCAATCCGTCAGCAGAGGTATGTCCAGTTTTCTCGGTTGAAGGCTGAGATATTACGACGCCTACACCCCTCTCGTCCCATTACCGCTGTTCTCTGACCCTGACTGAACGATAGGATTGCGAGGAGCCAGTCTTGTTTGGCCCTTCACCAGTCATGATGCTTGTCGCTATTTTCACGTACTTCCCGATGACTGGACGACGCCCAACACCACCTCAGTGGTGGCAGAGTCTTTGTGGAGGACCCTCCCGTGCTAATTGACCGTGTCTCTTACAGCACATGTCTGGGGGCCGGTACCTCAAATCTTTGCTGTATCCGCAAATGCAACCACTTTGGCCCGCTCCATCCATTCGGTTGTCTGGCAGCCTGGCAGGGGAAACGCGGGCAAGACAACCCCCTTCGCGTGTCGCTCACGGGGTATACTGCGTACACAGTAGTGTCTATGGCGAACAGGGTCGTTTGATGTTGCAGGGATCTTAATGACCTGGCCGAGCTCATGAATTCGGGCACAGTGGACGGAGCGGCATTGCCCCTGCGCGCAGCGTCGCCCAGCTATTCGGCCGGCACGATCGGCGTGGCCCATGACGCCGCTGTATTACAGATGTTTTGTCATTTGAAGTGTCTCGTTGCTGCCACAGCCGAAGACTGTCGAAACGGGCGTGCCACTCACCCACCATCATCATCATCAGTCAGAGGTGCATCCATTCCTTCAAGCGCCGTGCCCACTCCTTAACCGAACCAGCTCGTGACTGAGACCAGACAACGATCCAGTCAAGCAGCCCACAGAGTCCAAGCTGACAATAACACAAAGGCTGGGTTGTGCATGACGTGCCTCGACGGAGTGTGTAACACTTTGGAACCTCGAGAACAGCCGACTCTTTGTCTACACTGTTTCCCCTAAGAAATTGCAGTCCATCTCGCTTGCAATGGTTGCTCACGAAATGCATCCGCGCGACAGCAAGTTCTCTGACGCATAGAAATGGCGAACCCCAAGCCGCGGTTTCATTAGGGTGAGGACGAAAACGCAAAGGGCGTGGGCCAGACGGAGCCACGGAAGCATCCAAGTTCCTTTGCTCAAGGATCGGCCGTGGACTATTTGCATGCTCTACCCTAGCGCTGGTTCAACCATGGGTATTCGTACGGATACGATCCCTTGATTCTGTGCTCGATTTCTACCTATAGGTGAGCAGAGGGCCTGCGCCTGGGCCATGCATCAGTCGTCAATTTGACAGCCTCGTCTTGCAGCAGCAGGCTGGCAAGCAATCAATGCCCAATGGTCTCGGCTTTGGCGATACGCTACAATCATCCATCGCTTCCTCTTGGTTCCTGCAAGCTCTTCATCGACCAACACCATTACTGGGTATACATCCTATGTGGCTTTGGTGTTGACCCTTGAAGGTCTTTCGAGGAAGATGAAAGATGTTGGGGGCGCTGCTCACCACATTGGCAGACTTCGCGGCAAAACATGGCAAGAACAGTATGTTATTTGATTTGCTCGCCGAGCTAACCACCTAGCTCTATCAATTTTGGCCATCCTCAGGGCTCGGCATCTCTGCTGCGTTCTATTTTGGGGTTAAAGACCAGATTAAGTAACTAGGGCCGTTGCGTTGGCAAAGAGTCTGGCAGACTCCTTAATCCTCCAAGCTTGATCTCATTTGGGATCACTTTATTGTCGCTTTATTTCTTTGATCGCTTTGCACGACAAGGGGCTGGCCGTCGGGCAAGAGAACGGCGGACAGAGGGCCAAAGACAGCAATGGTGTCCTGGCAACCCTGGTCCGGCTACAACCACGAATGAAGGAAGCGGCATTGCACAAGACAACCTAGACAAGAACAGACGCAGCAGCAATATCGATTCGGCCGTCCAGGGGACGATCCTCTCCCGCGCATCTGAGAATGAGACCCAGTCGGTGCCGCCGTCCACACGACCTTGGAAGTTGGATCACCATTCCTTTCTCAGCAGTGGGTGTTGTCTCAATGCCTGGGAAGAGTCCAGGATGAGGGGGGGAGGGGCTTTGAGGTTCTTGGACTGACCGCAGTTCGCAATGCTACGCAGCGCCCACTGCCCAAGGCAAATGATTAATGTCGACGCAGGACTAGAGGGGTGAATGGGGATTTCTTAGTGGAGGTACCAGCGTCGACAGCAGCGAGCATACCTACATACATTGGCTTGCTCCATCACACCTAGCGTTCTGGAAGCCATGGACGTACCTACGCGACACAAGACAGGACCCTGCAAACGGACTTTTGACGGCGTACGCACGGCAATACGTGTGCCATCCGGACGGAGCGAGGCAAGGGACAAGATGCCTCCCCGCACTACCACGGTCACGATACCAAGACTCCAGTGACCAGACTACCTTCCTAGCATCGACATCCACCTAGATCACAATTCACACCGAGTCAACGCCAGCAAACAGGCGAAAAGACGCTGCGCTGCCGTCAGCGGCCGTGTTTCTGTTGCGGGACGCAAGGTGACACAAGGGATCGTGCCTCACGTCGGTCTTGTGTTGCTTTCTTTGCCCTGGGCTGGAAAGTTGACTCGCCTGCAAGCAGCTGGACTAAATTGGATCGGCCATTTCTCACCCATCGAAATGCCAATGCCAGCCTCTTTTGTGCGTCGAGCCACGACAGTGTGGGCACGGATATGGAACTGCTACTGCGGTGCAGCACCAATGCCTGGGTTAATTCAACATGCTGGGTCGTCTGGGATTTGCCGACCTCTGAAGATCTGAGCTGTTGGGCACGCCGCACGAATCAGAGCGACGGAGACTAGACGTCTTGCAAAGTAAGGTGTTCCTTACCAGATTTCTTCCCTACCGTTGTTGACTTTGGTCAATTTGAGAAGCGCTGATGTGCGGAGGCGAAATAAGGTCTCGAATGTACGGTGCCCTCATTCCGTCTGGCCTACCGCGAACCTGTGGCATCTATTCGATACGCAAATGATCGTGGAGCTATCAGAGTATTTGATGGGATGGATTGCAAGCAGGCGTTCGAAAGTTTCGCAATTTGATGAGACAGTACGGACTAGGCATGTGAGGTATCTATACGCAGTACATGTTGTCAGGGACTTGGGCAATATCGAAACAAGGCTATGCCCGGAACAATACCACACACCACAATTCGTACGCGCACCGGAAGCTAGGACGAATTTTCTGGAGTGTTGTCAAGAGGGTTAGGTGTGCTTGAGTCACTGTTGCTTGAGCTCCGTGAAGGTTGGAGGGGACGGAAAGTCCCGTCCGACAACCGTACGTTGTTCGAGTTGCAAGTCTGCGTCACTTTTGGGAAATTTGAATGCTGAGCATAACTTAGCAAAGTGGACGCAGACGCGCGAGTCACGGTCTGTTTAGGATGTTTCTCTGGCGAGGCCGTCATATTGCTGAACGTACTCCGTACACGAGGGCGCAAGCAAATTCTGCTTGGAAACGGACGCTGGACTCTCGTCCCGAAAACTATCCTGCAGCATGCGGCACGATGGCAGCCGAGGGCGGGCGTAATATGCCCCAAAGACGGCGGCCGAGGAAAATGACGCCCGCGTTACCGAAAGGGTTTGAGACGAGAGGAATCTATGTAATGGGCCGGGGACCATTACAACCGGGAGGAAAGCATGTCGCGGAAGCAGGTGTTACGAATGGGAACTCAGCCGTGGACGAACCGACCATCCAGAGGCGCTGCAGCGGCTAGTGACTCAAGACAACGAATGGAAACCAAGGCCACTTGGGTTCGAGGCATCGAAGACGGCCAAGCCCTGATACGGCGTGGTCTAAGGTTATCTCAAGGCTCAAAGACAGTCAGGCGAAAAAAGCATTGCATGGCCCATGTAAGGTGCTTCGCCCACTGTGCGGTGCAGTTCAGCCAAGGTTTTAGCAGGATGCAGGTGCTCTACGGATACAGGGCAGACGTACCTTGTATGAGCAGAGCCCAAAACGAACGAGGGCCGAAAGAGTTTGGTGTGGGGTTGGTGCCGCATTGCGCGGAGTGGGCGTGAGTGTGGGTTATGAGCCTGTGGATGGGATGGGACGAGATGCTCAAGAGTATCCGTAAGTACCACCGAAATGTGCCAGTGATGGACATGCTGACGATGGCTGACGATGGATGGGGCTCGCTGTTGCGCTAGGGAGCCTACTGATACTGTACGGATGGATACACAGCGCAGCGCAACGCAACGCAACGCCCCCTCGCCGGTCCTGTTCCGTTTGTGGTACGAGGATGCACAAGCCGAGCACTTCACACACCCAGCGATCCATCATACAGCGACGCAGGCAAGCCAGGTCAAGCCTACATAGTACTCCATACAGAGATGCTGTATTATCCGACCCCTGTTGGACTGCTCTGGAACAGTTTATATCTGACGGTGCCTGAGGCGTTTGAGACGGTTTCTTGCCCTCAAGGTGGGCGATGGCTGAAGCTATCGCTGACGGGCAAAGCCTGTGGGCCGAAACACTTGTTGGTTGGTGTACACTAAGTAGGCTGATGCTCATTTGCTGACGATATCGAACTGGCTAACTGCGACTATCACTAGGACATCACAATGTCGGTATTCGCAAGAAGCGACCTGTTCGCGACGAAAGGGGAGAGTCTCTGTAGTCGGCACCCACGCCTGGATTCCGGTGGCCTCTGCTATCGACCGACAAACACGTCTCTAGCATTCTCTAGTCACCGTTGTGGACTGGTAGTGCAGCGAGCGGAGGTGCAGCTCTCGTCTTCCATGCCGGCCTCTTCCCTGTCCTGCCCGTCTGGCTAGCCACTGGTCAGTGGTATCTGGATGGGAAGACTGCAAAGCTATGTGCGGGCTCAACTGGTCTCTACCCGCCGCCATGTCGTGGTAGCATAGGTAATTAGCGGTCCTCTGCTTCCTCCCTGTACGCGGCGTGCCCCCCCTTGTCAGTCATTTACGGCTACTTCGTACTCCGTTCAGCAGAGTCGGAGTCGTAGTCGTAGTCGCACCCGCACCCAGGACCGAAGAAAGGGCCACTTGACAACCCCACCCGACCCCAAGACCAAACCACGCCCGAGACCCAGGCCCTAGTGTGGCTCAATCAGCGCAGCAGATGGAAAAAGAGGGTGAGCAGTGCTGGCAGGGCGGTGGTGCAGGAGAAAGGGGGGCATGAGAGGGGGAGATGGGTGTGAGAAGCCGAAGCTCCAGGAGAAGAGCAGAGAAGTGAGATGGGGGGGGGGGGGCGTCCAAATATCAAGGTCTGTTGCCTTCTCCTCGAGGCTTGGAGGAATGCGAAGTAGCATGACCCGGCCCATAATTGGCTGGAAGGTTAAAGATGGAAAGGCAATGAGGCGCCCGGCGGATAGGCGCACGGGGACGGGAAAAGCATCAAGCATGCCTTCCCCTCCCTCTGGTTCTAGCATTGCTTATTAGACCATGAGAGCTGCGTGAGAGAAGTTGAGTCTTGACATTTGACGTCTTGCAGTAACTCATTCGGCTTTGCTGACTGGGCGAAACAGTGGACGAGGGCGTACTGGGCGCTGTCGTTGATTCGACTCGATTGGATCGGTACAGACATACGGATGGATACAGATACAGGAACACTTGAGATGGTGGAATTCGGAGTACTTTGATCTTCAGTATGAATGATGGCGGAGGGTAGGTAGCTTTTCCTCGTCACCTTGTTTCCTCCTCGCGCCCTTGTCGAGCTGGGCTCTACGTACCTTAGTGAGGTACCGCGTACTGCGTACCTACTGTGGTAGGTGCCAGTAGCACGTGAGTGGATACAGAGTACTTGTACGTACTACAAGGTGTCTGGTCCTTTCTTTTCCTTTTCTTGCAGCTCCACGACTCCTCTTTGGCGTTTCTTTCAGCCCTCCACCCACACAAGGTATCAGATATTCCTTGCCTGTGCTCGCGAGCAGCTCATCAAGGACGTTCAAAGTCTCTTCTCGGTACGAATTGACACCCGCACCCGACTTCAGAAAATTGGTGGTGGTGGCCTGGCCTGCAACATTGGAAGCCTGAGGTGTGGTGCGTGCAGCATGCCCTGCACCTGGCACCTGCTCTCCCCCTCTGCTGGGGCTGCATCCAGACCAAAAGTAGCCTGATTGGCTGAATCGACCTGATTGGCTCGGAAGTGGAGACCAACCCTCAAGACCGATGGAGAATCTGAAAGAAGGGGAAAAAAACGACCACTCAGGTGCCACTCCACCATCACGGAAAGAAAGGACAGAAAACTTGCATCTTCCTTTCCGCCAGTGGCAGTTCCATCCGTCCACTCGCAACCTTGGAAGGTCTGAGTCCACAACTTCTTCCTCTGGTCTAGCCGGCAGCCTTTTGCAACTTTGCACATTTGATTCAGACACGACTCTTCTTTTTTCACCTGGACTTTGAATCTCGGCTTGTTTTCACCTTCACGCCCTCGCCCTCGGTCAGTAGTACGGATACAATCTACACACCCTTCCGATACACCACCTACCTACACTCTTGTGTAGGAACCACGCCCCCATACCCCACGCCCGCGCCCACGACTACACTACGAAAGTGCGAATGCCCAGGATTCAACCCTGAGCAGAAGTGTATTTGTACACCTCATGCGGCATGCTCACTTCCCACACCAAATCTCAGGCTCGGGGACTTGCTGCTTCATCGCCGCCGCTCTCACACGGCCTGCTATTTACCGCACCTGAGCTGAAGGTGGGCCCGTCGCGCTAGGTAGAATTCGGATCGGTACCAGGGCCTAGGCAAGAGTCTGGCGGAAACCTCAGACGGGGGCAGGCGGACGAAGGCACTTGGACGCCGACGGACCATCACCGACCAGGCTAGGCTTGTAGTACGTCTGCCCGATACGCTGTGCTGGATCATATTCAAGGATGGGATTGAACATTGACGACGGAGCAGAGCATCCATCTGTCGTGGTCGGGGTCACAGTTACAGTCACGGTCATGACAGGGGGTGTCCTCACAATCATTGTCGAATGGCTACCAAACCACCTGGGAACGGGACTGCGACTTTGGACGGGGACTGGCCGGTCAGAGCCTTGGACTGTTGGAGGACAATCGGTCTGGCAGATTCCAGGTTGTCTGTCACTCACTCTGCGTCTAATAACGGGACCATGCTCTGCGGATGCCTCCAGGCTTTGTCAATCACGATACCCCAAATGTCTCGTTGATCCGCGCTCTGTACGGATACGGAGTATCGATCTGTGAGGTGTGATCTGTGAGTGCCGGGGACGAGGAGAGGAAGACACTGAGGACTAATGAACTCTGGAGCTGCGTAGGCTTGCTTGGCTCGGCTGGGCTTTCTTTCGCGTGCCTCGACTGTGCCTCGCCTTGCCATCTGGCTGCCTGTGTATCGAAAGATGCACATACGCGGCGCCTCCTCATGGCTGACGCTGGTTGAGGTTGGGACTGGTGTTGGATCAATCACCATGGATGGTGTTGGTGCCGGTGCGAGATGCAAGTGCATTGCCGCAAGGCAAAGCGAGGTACGTATCGATATACCGTGTATCGTGTTCCGCATCGAAAATGGCCAACCACTGGAGACTGGAACCCCCGAGGCATGTGTCTTTTTGGTGGCGCAACACGAGAAAAGGTACATACTTCCATGCCCCAGGTGGTGGACGGGAGAGAAAAAAGGTACCTCAAGCCAAGTACCTCTGCTCTTTCCGTCTAAGGTATCCTCGTGCATTCTGCTTCTTTCCCCCCTTCCTTCCTCCCTCTCACCCTCTGGGTTCAAGACCCACTTTGAGATTGCCTCGCGACATGGTTGGCCCAAAGTTCTTTGCGTACCTGAGCCAAATTGTCTCTTAGTCTCCTTGAATCCTTCCTGACTTTTGCATTTTTTGCGGCTTGTTTCCATAATCGGCTTGGTTACGTGGTTGCTTGTTGAGGGGCGGGCGGGCGGGCTAGCTGAGAGGGACGGCTACGGGGAAAGTCTGGCTCCAGGTTTGTTTGCCTGCCTTGTTCCTAACTCCCTCCAGGCTCCGAAGAGGTACACATATTGCTGCTCTTGCTGGTATTGTGTGGCTGCAAAGAAGCGTCCGGACACTTTGTGGAAAGCAAGGTACTTTGTGCACTGAGTGGTTGTCCTCAAGGCGGCACTTCCCAGTACCTACGGATACCTTACGGTCCTTATTACCACAACCTACCTGACTTGGAGCGGCACCCAGTCAACGGGAATACACACAGTAGGGATAGAGACGGACTTAGCTGCAATGGAAGTTGCAGAGCAAAGCAAGTATCTAATTCTGGGGTCATGTTCCTTGCTAAAGTTGCCTTCTTCCCTGGACTCTGGAGCCCCTGCTCCTCTCCGCCGACCGACCATGTTGGTGCTTTTTTGCCAGTTGGTGTGGTGTGGTGTGGTGTGGCAGGTTGGTGCTGCCGGTGCTGGAGCTTCCCGGTTGAGGTGAGGTGCGGCGTCGCCCTTTTCTTTCTTTGCTCCTCCGACCTCCACATCTGAACCAAACCTGCGCTTGCGGATGGGTTGTTTTATTTGCTGGAGTCCCGTACCCCCCGTCAGGCAGGTAGGAATCGAACAAGCTGGATGGTAAGTATCTTCTTTTTCTTGCCCACCTCACCTGCCCCCCCTTCCCCTCCAAGTCAAAGACTAAGGACAGGGCACGCCGCACCGTAGGCCGCACATGGAACAAGGTACCTTGGTCCCCTCCCCTCCCACGTCCCTTCCTCAATCCTCATCCTCATCCCCATACTTGAGGGTACGGAGATACACGGTACATCCCATCCATCCCTCCATGTCCCATGTTGGCTGTTCCGGGTCCCGTCCCTTTCCTGCCACAGTGCCACCTGCCTGCCCTTGCCCAAAACCCCCAATCCCAATCCCATGCCTTCCCTCATCCACTGCGACCACAGACCTGACCCAGACGAGGACCCATAACCAGGGCGCGCGGAGACGGATACTTCTCCTCTCACACAGCGCTCGCACAAGACATCCGTATCTAGTGACTTTGCCTACAATCTGTGGATGACCGGTACATGCGCTACTGGGCCTAGGCTGGGAACTAGGTACTTGACTTTCCTTGGTAGTGAGGTGTGTTCCTTATTTTTTTTAACCTTGCCTTACTCACTCATGTCTCTCTGGCTGCGGGTGTTGCTGCAAGTTTTCTCCAAATAATAATAATAATTAAAATAAAATAAAAATAAAGACGAAAAACGGGGAAGCAGAGAAAGAGAGAGAGAGAGAGAGAGAGGTCCCAGGGTCCAGACAACGAACGACGCAACCATATCACTAGACCTCCGTTTTTTTTGTGGTTTTACTGCTTCGGCTTCCAATCTATCACTTCGTACCTCACCTTACCTTTCTACCTGGACCCCCGGCCCCGACCTTCTTGCCGTGTGAGAGGTGCCTTACCTTGCCTTTACCTTGCTTCTTTCTCTCTGCTTCGTCCAGCTTGCCTTGCCTCGTCTCTTTTTTTATTTTATATTCTCTCAAAAGGTGCTAATCTTGTTTTTGTTGACGGGGACCCTCTTGCTACTGCTTCTGGTCTTTAGCCTCTTCTTACTTGTTATTATCATCCTTCTTCTTCCATCACTCTGGACTAGTGGTGTTGCTGTTGTTGTATGTGTACATGTATGCGTGCGTGTGCCAAATACCCAAGCAACATCCCGTACAATACAATACAATTCCAACACCGCCGGCCACACTCTTCTTTCTCGCACCCATCCATCCTTCCCACCACGGCCATCCCACCGAATCACGGAGCCCCATTGACCTCACCACCCACGAGCCCTTCATTTACACGGACAATCTGAAGTACACGTCGGCCCAGGGTCATCTCTTCCACCTTACCTTATACCTACCTCCCATTTCCACCGAATTTAATCCACCGACCCATTCACCCCTCCGACTTATTCGTACCTTGTCGACCTGACATCAACGTCGAACCCATCTCCAATTCCCATACCTTGGTCACTGTGCCCACCAATCCACCCCTCCAAAGGTGTTCTCCTGCTCCTACTTCTTTCTACTTTGCTCCTGCAATCGAATCAGCACCTCGACGGTCGACGAACACGATTCACGCCCTCCTCGATTCTTGGATCACGAGCACGAACATCTTGGATCGAGACTGCGGCTGGACCAAATTCTTGCACGATTCACCCTGCCATGGCCAGCTCGTGACGGAGACACCCCTCAACAAGAATCACCAATCCTCAAGAGAACTGCTATTTCGAGCTTGCGAGTACAGACGAAAACCACCCGACGGGAGCATTCATATAATTCCAGGTTGACCTTTTCTGCCTGACTCAAACTGCCCACAGCATTCTGCCGAAGTGCACACAAATCTCTCTCTAGGAAAGGAAGCTTCTACAAGTGAATCATATTCGGAACTCTGTCGCCTGCTTCAACCACAAATGTAGTAGCCGACCTTGATTTCTCTCGACTGATACCTCTCGACCCGCCACTCTCTCTTCCACCATTTTCCGACCTCTATTCGACCTCTCGAAAAGAGACTTCTCCTGCAGCCGAAGCATCGCTCAAGAGATTGTCGACCTTCGAACGACGAACCTCGAGCCCCCCCTCCGCGAGCCAACGATCAACTTCCCCCGCTCCGATGTGTTCGACTGCCGCACCTTTGCCCTTCTACAGCCTCCCTCTGTCTCCTGCACACCCCTTGTCGTGTAGACAGAGCTACTCTCAGCAAACCTCCTTCACAGCCACTCACTCGCAAAAAGTTTCCAGGTTCGATCTCGGGGCAGGAGCTTCTCTGTACCGGGGCGGGCTTCGCACGCCGCCAACCGACGCCATGAGTGCTACCTACCACGCCCCTCACCTTGTCTCCTACGACAGCCATGTTCTTCCCTCATACCCTTCCTCAGTTGCTCAGGCAAGAGGACCTAAGGCTGTCATGGCCGAGGCTGCGAGAGCCCCTCAATATTCTCGGTATCAACAACCCGCCAACACGTATTCCCAACCCCCGCAACCGGTAACGAATCCGGCCTCGGGCACTAGCCAATACTCAACTACCTCTCGACACTCGACTCGCCCGTCAACACCGACTTCAGGTGCCATTGGCAAGCCAGATGACACTTCGTCACGTAAGGGCTCTTCGGCTCTCGTTCTGCACAGTCTGTCGATACCGAGCTGCATTAATCCCAAGGGTGGTAACTTGGCCGACTTTGCCGCACAGGTAAGCTGGACTTGGCCCGCAAAGAAGAAGAATAGTAGTAGCTGACCTCTCTCAGATTACGTGCCTCTTTTGGTTCGAGTCTATGGACACCCTGCGAATCGCTGAGAACATCCGTTCTCGTCCATCGACCGCCACCGTACCTCGCCTCACCGAGTATGCGACCCCCTTCCCCCAGTTCAAGAAGTGGGCCTACAGCGTGCTCTCGACGACCCAAGTCACGCAAAACGTGATTCTGTTGGCCCTGCTTTTCGTCTATCGATTGAAGACGACAAATCCTTCCGTCAAAGGTCGGTCCGGTAGTGAGTATCGTCTTTTGACGGTTGCCCTCATGCTGGGCAATAAGTGTAAGTGATGATTGCAATAGGGGGGAGGGTTGAGTCTTTTGCTGACACCTCGTAGTTTTGGATGATAACACCTACACGAACAAAACCTGGGCCGAAGTCTCCGGCATTACCGTTCAAGAGATCCATGTGATGGAGGTCGAGTTCCTCAGCAACATGCGCTACAGCCTGCTGGCTACCAAAGAGGAGTGGGAGGAATGGCTCGTAAAGCTATCTTGCTTCTCGGAATACTACGAGCGGGCGCAGAAGCAACCGACTTCACCTTTGAACAAGTCCTTCACCTCGCCGGTCCCATCGCCCATCGCCGCCGCACAGCCCGCAGTCTCTTTCCCGCCCCTCACGCCTTCTGCCGCAAACGTCTACTCACCGAGCACGAACGCGCAGAGCAACACGCAGGCTTGGCCCTCGACATATCATCACAACCCTCAGGTGTCACCACTTTCTGGCAAGCACGTCCCGGGCATGAATATGAATGCTCGTAAGAGAAGCTCAGAGGAAGATGTGGCAGAGCCCCCGGCGAAGCGACTTAGCAGGCAGCCCAATGCGATGCCCCCTGTCGGTAGACCTATGGCGGTCAACGAGCAGCCGATGCGTCTGCCCGTACCGAACCTGACGCTGAACACCAACCCCACACCATCACAGGCACAAATGTACCCGGCCCCGACGACCTACCCGGCGCAGCAACACGTCTCCTTGCCGCCCTTGAGCAACGGCGTTCGTGCCATGGCAACAGTGTTCAACCCTGCCACGACAGTCTCGATGCCGCAGCTGCCCATGCCAGCCACGACCTCGATACCGCAGGCCTCGCTTACGCCCTCGAATGTACCGATGCATCCCAACATGGGATACGGCACTCCGACCAAGAGACACAGTCCAGGAAGTCTCTCTGTGTATGCGTCTTCGCCTCTCGGGGAACAGTTCCCGACATCTGTCATGCACACCCCGATCTCACATACGCCCATGTCACACTCGCCCAGCGTTTATCTTCAACAGCGACCCAGCCCGTACAAGCCTATTCGTCATGTCAACACACTACTTTACCCTCCGCCGTCGGCTTCTCTCAACGAGTATCATCTGCCTACGACACAGATGCACTACCAACCTCTCGGGCGGCGCAACGACCTGCGAACCGGTGTAGTTCCTGAATTCATGCATGCGCCCTACAGAATGAGCGCTCACATGCCGCACATGCCCCATGGTCTGCCGCAGGGACCTTTCCCGAACTAGAGGCTTGGGAATCGAATGAACCAGCCACCATTTCCACCATACACTCCTCGGGGACAATACCCCGAGGATAGATCTTTCAACTCATTTTATTAAGCATTGCATTGTCCAAGGCGTCGGGTCAGGATCATTATTTTTTACTTCATCAGCGGGCAAGGAGGATTGGGGAAATTTGGGGGATCTTGGCAAGGAAAGGGACGATTCTCATGGATCAACTGTGAAAATTGCATCAGGCGGAGTTGTCTTTTTCTCTCTTTCCCTACTTTTGGGCTTTCGGGGCAACAAGGAGGTTAACAAGGCAAGAAAGAGCAATGGTCCTTCGAGCTTACGCATCATCTGGTAGATGATGCACCACGCAAGCTCGGCTTCCCCAACAAGCCGAAGCGTTTGATTTTTTCTTGGCTTCTTCCGAAGAGGCAAAGGAGCCTTTTTTCGGCGTAGATAGAAATCAAGCGTCAGCGATGACAGCTAGATCACGAAAGATCAAGCGAATCAAATAAAAAAAGTAAAAGTAAACATATATTTCTAGTTCCATATGGTGATGGTCAAAAGCCAGTCGCTGGATTATGGGCAGATTGAGTTTGTAGGTTTGAACCAATCAGAGAGGGACAGTGACATTGCAGTTTTGGTGACATTTGGTTGATTGAAATTCACTGTGTGAAAATGAATGCAACATCGTGCTTGGCACGGTACGGTGTCAGAATATTCGCCCAGGTAACCATCAATTGATAATTGCGTGGGAGGAAAATTGAAACACTTGTAGACTGGACAGCCACGAACCATCTGAAAAGTAGTGTACCATGTCTTGTTTTGGAACGCTCTGGGCGACGGAATTGTCTCGCAAATAGGTCGCAAGCGCGCTGCAAATAATGGGCTCCGTCATGGACAGCCAAACACCTTGAACAGGCTAATGAGATTCGGTGTCTCTGATCTATTCAGATGAGCGGACTCCAGAGAACCTCGCCTAGCTTACTTACTCTTTACTTGGGTACATGTGAAAGGCTCGTGTTGGCACCTTGAGCAACACTTATTTCCAAAAGGGTATGAAGGAGGTGATTCCTTCTGAGGATGATTTGATCGCCTGGGAAAAGCATTGCTATGTGCTTCATCGGAGATGGATTTCAGAACCAGCCCGGATCGCTCGTGAAATCGCCCATCATGAACGTGGACCCTGATCAACCACTAGAACTTTATCATGCAATATGCAATCGGAGATGGATCCGGGGCTGGGAAGATATGGCACGATGCCTACCTTTCAAGAGCAGTGAAAATCTCCCACCTGTTGATCATTTGGCTTGAGAGGCACATATCAGCCAAGGGTTGTCAGTCAGCCTATCACCTCTTACGTATTCCTCCTAAAATACCGACAAAGAACGAGCTATAAACGAAGAGTGTCAGTGAACGCTTGCCTGGGAACTGGAAGCACGCGACAGCAACTTATCCCGAAAACTTTGACGGCAAGATGACGTTCGGCATATCCAAGAGATTAAAGAGGTCAAAGAGCGTAGACGACGCAAAGAACGAGTCTGCCAACGATCTCGTCCCTATACGCCGTCTGACATCTTCGAGCTTCGCCATGGCCCCACGCCTGGCGCCGGCGTACATCGATATGGCCACGACATGGACGTCCGTCGAGGCCCCGCGAGGAACATTCACAGTAGACAAGTCCAAATTCTACCAGCCATCGGGCCCCATGGCCGACGACGTCTTCTGGATGCCGCTGTCCTCTGGCGACGTCGGTCACTTTTCCCGGGACGGATTGCGGGTCGACAACGATTCTTGCTCTTCCCGGGTGCTATACCGCGTCAAGGAGAAGAAGCACCTGTCCAAGGGCCTGCTGATGCACTACGGCACCCTCACCATCGATTATCACCCGTCCGAGTCTGTCAGTCGATGCTTTGTAGGCTTCGGGCCAAACGCCGAGCACCGTCTCATCATGATGCTGAGGGCGGATTGCCAGCGGGCTGCGGTCAAGGTCACCGCTTGCATGACCAGCTTGTTGCATAGCAAGCTGCAGCGGGAGGGTAGCTTGTTGTGGCTGAAGCCGAGCGTGGTCGCCGATACGTTGGAGAAAGCCGCGGAGTCGTTGATTGATATTGCTGCGTTGGTCGATCGCTTCATCCAGACGATGAGGAAGCTCTACCAAGGCAATGATCGGGAGGCCGATATGCCTGTAACGTTCAAGAAGGCTCTGTTCCTACTCGGCCTGACCAAATGGCATCGCATCCACCGCGCCATCAACGCTATCCAGTGCCTCAAGGAGGCTTTTCGAATTGTGGCGGATACGGACGGACATGAGAATAGGAGCAGCTTCGGCAGCAAGGCTCGTTGGTGTATTGCGGCCAACGTGTATGGCATGCTGGGTTGGAGGCGAGCACCAGCCAGCCTCGCTCACCAACGAAACGTGCTACCCAATGTATTGACGTCGCTGGAGATTCTAAGCGAGGTGGACTGGACCGACTTTCAGACCAGGGATGCGGAGGAGAGAATGGAACAAGCTGGCGTGACGGTCAGCATCACCAAAGAAGCCAACTTTACTCCTGCAACGTTCCGAACTCTGATGCGGTTTCTGCAACACCGGTCACTACAGTCATTGGAATACGATGACGAGTTTGGTGACGCGGATGTCAGAGGGCCAAAGCAGGAGGAGCCACAGAGCTGGACGGGAGAAATCCTGCCCGCTCACTTCCAGATGTTGAAGGCCATGCCTTGGGTGAGGCATTGCTGGGCCGCAGACAGCACTTTCTTGACGGTGCTGGCACTACCAACGTTGGAGGTGTAGGGAGGTTTCGAGATCCGTCAGATGAGGCTGATCTGAAAACGAGGTGAAGTTGCGCCAAGACCCAGGCTGAAAACTTGTGGTAATTCAGGGCAATTTTGTTGTGCTGGGTGACGTTTCAACAGATCAGGCTGAGACGTTGGTTCGGCTGGGCCAATAAGCTGGGACGACGACGTATTGCACGGGTTGTGGGCTACACCGAGACGGTTGCCGTGGTGGTTGATCAACATTGATTCGCCGCTGAGACTGTCAGGTCAACAAATTGTGACATGAAGACATGACCGTCAGTAGGCACATCTTGGTCACTGGCTCTTTTGATAACCGGTTTGCAAGTGATTATCGCAGAGGCAAAGAGTTTGGGGCAAGATGGGACGAAAACTATGCGACGGTTGACTGGACGACGGAGAGAGAGTGCGTGCCCGCGTGAGTGACAGCGGGAGTTTGCTGTTCTTTGCAAGGTTTGTCTTGTTTCGATGTCAGATTTTTTTGCTATTCCTGACGCAGGGACGAGCAACGCATCGCACACCCGACTCAATGTCTCTGTTTGACGATGGTGGAATTTGGAAATGGATACGAAGCAATCAAGGCCAGACGAATGCACAGAACGCGCCTCGTCTCAGAGAGAAGAGGGCATTGAATTGAGGAGATGCAGCAATGAAGGGGATGAATTACATAAGCACTCTACTACATACGCAATATGAAAGCTCCAAAAAGTGGCTGGGCAACTGGCAACAACGGGGATCTCTCCTGCTTACACTTCTTGCCAGACGGGGCGACAGGGCCTCGTGTTCGAGCTAGCGGGGAAGAATGGACGTCGCTTCAGTGGACTGGGCAGGGGTGATGCTGCTAAACTAGGATAATTTGCCGAAAATACACATTTCAACGCTCCAAGGGGGGAAGGAAGAACACGAGATAGCCAGTCAGAGGCCGGAAAGAATGGCATTCTGCTGTATTTAATTGGGGAACATCGAAAGCCACCAGCCACCTTTTGACCTGCAAAGATTGCCATTCGCCCCACTCCGTCCCGTTCCTGGACCGGGAAGGCGCCTCTTACGAGAGAGCGTTCTACCTTCCCAGTGGTCCCCTCGACCCTTCTCCTTCCAGCTGTGTGCTTCCTTCCTTGCTGTGCTACCCGCCTTGCCCGCTTGCCCGCCCCTTCCTGGCACTTGTACACTTTGATTCCTGCACTTGCTGCGCTTGTTCTGCACCTGCAGGGCCTCAGAGTGTCCCAGAGTGGGCTCCTTTTCTCCCTTTTCCACAGCAACGCTGCTCCAACGTTCCCCCCGTTCAGCTTCAGCTTGTCGTCGGACAGCAACCGTTCACTGTCACTCGCTCCCAACCACCAGCCCGTTCATCAGAATCAGGTTCTTGTTCAGTCATTCGTTGTCGCACCCTCGCTCCGTACCACCTTCACAGATAGGTTGTCGTCGCTGCCTCCGTAATATCGTCATCGTCGTCGACAAAAACTCTCTCCAAGAAAAAAAAACCTCTCTCCGTCGCTCTTGAACTCGGACTCCTGATTATTGCCATCTCCCGTCACGGACCCCCGACGCCTCGTCTCCACGATCAGCCCGCCCGCCCTCCATCCGAGTGACCTCCCTTGACGTCCATCGAAACATCCATTCCTCGTCCATTCGCACCATCGTCCCCTTCGTTCGCGACGATACGACCAGGCTTCGCCGGACCTCTCGCTCACTCTTGACGAAACGCCATCCATATCACGTTGAATCCGTCGCTTGGCCTCGACTCTGTTCATCGCTCGAGTACCCTTTCGCCATTACCCCTGTCGAGAACTCCAAACGACCCTCGACGGTAACTTTGAACTGCATACCTAGCACCCCGTTCCAACCATTCGACGCTGCCATTTCGCCATTTGCCCTTCCGAAAGACTCATCGCCGTAGGTCGGCCGTAGCCCATCATGTCAGGCTTCGGCGACTTCACCAACATCTGCCATATGGCGCCGCTGCCATTGTGCGCATCCATCGGCCCCATTACGGAGGTGACGAGCGGCGTTGGTATTGAGCCGGACTGCTATGCGAGGAATATCGAGCTGGCAAACACCATCATTTTCGAGGGTGCCGCCAGCGCCATGCATATTGTGTCTTTGCTCATGACCGTCGTCATGATCTTGCACATTCGTGGCAAGTTCACTGCTGTCGGTACGTCAGCCTTCACGAACCCTCATTTCTGACAGAAGTACTGACAAAACATGAATAGGTCGCAAGGAAATCCTCATGTTCTTCTACATCTACATGCTTCTGAGTTTCATCTCACTTTGCGTCGACGCAGGTGTCGTTCCCCCTGGATCCGCCCCCTACCCGTACTTCGTGTCAGTTCAAAACGGCTTGTCATCGGCTCTGATTACTTGCCTGTTGATCAACGGATTTGTCGGCTTCCAGTTGTACGAGGACGGCACTTTCCTCTCAGTCTGGCTCTTGCGCGTCTGCTCTCTGGTGGCCTTTGCGATATGCTTCCTCGTCTCCCTTGCGACCTTCAAGTCATGGGCTGGCCTGGGTCCCACCAACACCGTCGGCCTATTCGTCGTCCTGTACTTGCTCAACGCCATCGAGCTCTTCGTCTACGTTGCCCTGCAAATCCTCCTCGTCGTTAGGACTCTCCAGGACCGCTGGCCGCTGGGTGACATCGCCTTTGGCATATTCTTCTTCGTCGTTGGCCAAGTGATCCTGTACGCCGTGAGCACTCAGATTTGCACCGCCGTCAGCCACTACCTCGACGGCCTTTTCTTCGCCACTATCTGCAACCTGCTGGGTGTCATGATGGTGTACAAGGTATGCAAACTTGAGAATCTTGAAATGACAGCATTTACTGATCCGCTACTGCAGTACTGGGACTCAATTACCCGCGAGGATCTCGAGTTCTCAGTTGGAACTAGGATGAACAACTGGGAGGTCAAGGAGCTGCTGCCAGAGGAGGATCGTCGAGCGACTGTTTATGACAACGACCCCTACAACCACGCTGGTGGATACGATCACTCCTACTCGCCCTCTCCAGCACCGGCACGCTACTCCGCAAGGTACTAATGCGGCATCGAGGTTGGCGGCGAGGATGTGCATGACAACGTCTAGACATTGAATGGGCGTTTTCCACGGCGAAATTTCACGACAGGAGTCCGGATCTTGCCGATCTGCAGCAAATATTTTTCGGACATCTGTGTTACTTTGGGGATGACGACGACTTGGGCATTGAATCAGAATGGCGTTTGGGGGTAAAAACTGTCTTTACAGGTCGGGCTGCATCCCGAGACACGGCCGATTTTGAGTTTTTGGGTTGAGGCGGGCGGCCGAGGCGGCGGGGTCGGTTGGTTGTAGGATCAACCAGCAATCAGCAACAGCGAATAGGTTAATAACGTTAGCACGTATAGGTATCGATGCCCACGGGTGTCAGTAGTACATAGTTTAATTCAATCAAGATAGAGCAATTTCAGCGCGCCTGGTAGGAGATTACGAGTCGTCAGCTAGGGGAGACGAACAAGGGGAGGGGTCGGAAGGGAATGCAAGCCGCGTGGTCCTTCACCGGGGAGGCCAGTATAAGCGCAAGATGAGACGGAGGAAGTCTTGTTCCGGTAAACGTATCATTCTACGGTTCTACCTAGCTCGTTCCGAGTTTGTACGGATATACAAGTTGAGGCGGCGATGTCTTGGCATGTGTAGACACTATGTGACTCTGCAATAAGGGTATATGTGGCAGCTTGACTCGAAGGTTATATTGAGTTTGGCCTGCCATCCACGTTATAGTAACAGGAAAGGGGGACAAATTTGGCATGAGCTTAGATCAAGCTTTGAAAAGACTTCAATGGTCAATCAAGGTGAAGCATAACAGATGGTCCGCCGTTGGTGGGCTAATTAGATGCGTATGTAGTCCGCGAGACCCCCGGGCAAAACCTTGAAGGCAAGGAGCAACAAGCGAGCAATGTCCCAGCCCGCAAGATAAAGTCGCATCCACTGCCCGAGCAGCGCGAGAGGCTCGGGCTTGGAGGCTTTGGGGGGGGGGGGGGATATAGATACAGATACACGGACATACAAGCGTTGACAGGCTTGAATAAAAAGTTAACAAAAAAGAAGGTTTTTTACGATCTGCGTCCGTGTCTTCAAGGTAGGATTTGGATTGGAAGGGGTGGGAAGTGGAGGTGGAGTCCCCAGTCTGAGATGCACGGAGACCGGAACACGGAAACGAGGCCGAGTGAAGTTTTTAGCTAATGTGCGTGAAGTGAGAAAGGTATCCGTACTGGCACACCGGATGTAACTCGTACAGATGGTAACCAATCGCAGCACATGACTCTGCCGGTCAGTGTCGGGAGTCTGTATCTCATGGCATCAGTTCAGGCGGTTAAACGGTTGAGCAGGTAGGCTAAGCTGGAACTTGGAGGTTTTGATATTGGAGGAGGGGACGAGGTCGGTAAGTATCTTAAGAGGTGGAGGGGACCCAGACACCCAGGTCATGGTGCCTTATCGGGTACATCGGATCTGTTATCGGCGTGCGCTAGCCTGAAGCTAGGCGGCTTTCCTGAGTTTCCTCGCACTTGCATCCAATCACGTGGTCTAGGTGTGACGATGTAAAATAGGGTTGAGTACTCCGTACCTACCTAGGTAATTAGATTTCAATTGTCATGAGACACGGTTCCTTGGAGCGATCCAAAGCAGTGCTATCAACATGATTGAGGGAATGAGTTGGTGTTGCCCATAGGATGGCTAAGGAGCTCTGTCTGCATCCATGCGTACCTAGGTAAGTACCTACCTACCTTGAGCATTCTGCCGATTGCGCAATACTTGTCCGGATTTCCATGTCGAACAATGTCTGCTAGGGAGGCACGAGGGACTGGGGAAAATACTTTGAAAAGGTACATGCACAATGCATGGGCCAACACAGCACCTTACGTTACCTACCTTAAGGTGCTCCGTACTCCGTACTTTGTAGCGCTACCTTAAGTGCCTAAGTACTCCATACTAGGTAAGTGACAAGGTATTCGTATCAGCTTAGGTTACCTCAACTATTGATACCATCTAGCAGGGTATTGCACCCGAAGATAGAACAAGGGAAGGACGCAGTGAATGTCGATTGGCCTCCTCTTCAATATTGTGCATGTGCCGGTGGGGGCAACTGGCAGTCCGTTCCTGCCATTTTGCCAACATTGAGGCAAGTGTGTGCCTATGTACGGAGTACGTTCATACGAATGAATAGTGCTTGAGCTGGCCGACTATTTCGGTATGCATCTGAGGTACCTTTACCTTATTGTGTCTCTGTGCGGATTCTATCCGTCCATCGGCATCGATTACCTTTTGTGAAGGCGGCCATCTGTTTGATTATCTACTTAGCTCCTCCGCAAGGTAAGGTACTTAGGTAGGTGTGATGCATGATAGGAATAGGTGCCTCAGGGACTAGAAAAGCAGGGGAAGCAAGCAAATTGAAGCTGCTTTTCCTAGCCCATGGACCAAGGTGCCAGCTATTGTCCATTGTCCCGGCGTTTTCTTTCATTTTGTTGAAATTTTCCTTCTCCCTCACACAAGGCCCCCTTTCTCCCCCCCGGGTACGGAGTAAATCTTTCTAGGTTCTAAACAAGGCCACCACGCATTCGATCTGATTCAAACCCGGGTCCTGTTTGCTTGGCTTTCCCCTCCCCAGACAAAACATTTACCGCAACCGACTCAGTCCATCAGGGGATTGTCGATAATCGGACAGCGCGTAACAGCCGACGACCGACCAACGCGCAACTTCTCTAAGACCCGGTCTGCAGTCTGCCCCATCATCCATCGCACAATAAGGTACCTTACCTCACACACACACCCACCTCCCCCCAATCCAACTCCCTATCTATTCGTACTCTACGTATACATACACGAATGACTATCTTGCCCACCCCTCCCTCATCCCTTCCATTGCGTCGGCCCAGGGGAGTAAGCGTCTACTTTCTTGCGCCAGATCACGTGCAAACACGCGATACTCATTCCCTGACGACTAATCAATCGTCTTCCAACAGCGGCTGAGGTTCAATTTGGTGCAGTCGACTACCTACTCACCTAGGTATTCTCCCAAGGAACCATCCAATCTCATTCGCACCCGCATCGCATCACGTCTTTCTGTCCGCATCTACAACAGCAAATCATCACTGGGCAGCAACCCCGGACCTTTTCTACCCTCGAGAATCCGGCCCATCACTTCCCGGCCTGTCTCGCTCACCAATCTCACCCATTGTCATTTTCCGACCGCGTGCTTGAAGGTATCCGCCTATCGCCAAATTCCACCGGGCCTATAATCCGCCTATCCTCAACGACATCGACGCACCTCAGCCAACTAAGTGCATTAGTCCATTTCTCGTCCCCTGCTCACCCGCGCTACCTTTCTATTGCTCGGAATTTCGATTTCGATACGGCCACCTAGGGACTTGGGACTGTCGTACAGCACACTAGCAGCCACCGTCCTGCAAATCTGCGTCGCTTGACGTCTCACTCACCCACATCCCGCTACCCGTTGCAGTCAAGTTCCTATCCGTATCTTTTGACGCTATCGCCTCATCTCCCGTCTTCACCCTCACCTCACCCTCACTTTCAACCAAACTTCCAACTGTCGCCTTACGTTTTCATCTCCCGTCGGCTATTTCCTTCCGACCCTTTACGTGGATTACACTTCCCGCTACGGATACCTACCTAACTTACCTCACCTAACTTTACCATCCCCGGTCTGACTTTCAGAACCCCTCTCCCGTTGCATCGCATCCCACACAGGCACACACAAATCTCGACAGCACCTCACCTCACAGGCTCACAGGCCATAGCGCCGGCATAACACACCCAAGGTCGCCGCGGATTGATCGACGCTCGCGACATCTTCGGCTTATCCACACAGTTCACACCCCTGGTCGGACTGTCGCCGCATTTCATTTCCATTCAAGATTCTCCATCTCCTTCAATGCGAAACCCCAGTCTTGCTTGGAACGGTCGCACCCTCGTGCTCAAGTAATCTCGATTTTCTGCCCGACCGATCTCGAGAGCTCGCGCCCCGTGTCTCCAACTTTGGATGAACCGCACTGCTGCGTTTATCGACGCATTTCACTCACACCTGCGCTCAAAACCCGCCCTTTTCATCTGCTCACCATCACCACCACCGCTACCCTGCCAATTGGGGCGCATTCACCATGCCTTTCGATCCTGGAGATGACAGGAGGCCTGTCACCCAGGATGAGGAGCAATACTGGGAGTCTATGCGCCAGCTGCAAGAGCAAGACGATGAAAACCTCGACAAAGAGTATCTCAACAATGCCAAGTACTACATGGCACGCTTAACTGAGCTAAACTTGGAGAAGAATGAGCTCGAGCGACGTGCCCTCGAAGTTCACCGCGCCATTACCCGGGAACACAAGCACCTTGAAGAGCTCAACGACAGGTTCCAAAACACCAGGAAGGATATGAAGATTCAGCGCGAACATCACCAGAGGCAGTTGGCTGTCTGGTTCGACGAGCAACGCCGGAAAGACAATGATGAACGTGTTAGCATTGCAGCTGCAGCCCTCGCCGGCGCTGCCCCGCGGCGCGATTCGGCGCACATTGAAGCGTCACATCTAAGCAAGGTCGCCAGTGCTGGACTCAATGGCATGAACACCAACGGAGAGCATCGGAATGGCGCCGCCGTAACGATCCCCAGTCATGTCAGACCTAACCAACCTCCCCTGACCATGATCATTGACGCATCGGGTCGTACTGTTGGACCAGTGAACCGCCTCGTATCGAGCAATAGAATCGTCATATATCTGTCCAGCTTACCTCAGAAACGACCTGTCCAGCTCCGCGATGGCATCATATTCAGCCAGGACGACATGAAGGCCTTCGGAGAGGCGGAAGACAAGTGGAAAGGCGCCATCATCCAAGCCACAGGCCTCGTCCGGAAACAATCGCAGCAGTGCGCTCAATGTGCTAGCGGCAGAGGCCCCTTTGTGCAATGCATTGGCCTCGACATGCCTGAATTTCAAGCATGTGGTAACTGCGTTTGGCAGAGCACAAACTGTTGCGACGTTCCGCCGTCTATAAATCAAACGCCTCCCACGAGGGGGTTCAAGGCACTCAACGCCCAAGATGTATATAACGAACGAGCCGCTAACGGCAGCTTTACCAACGGCACTGCGACTCCCGTCGGCCATAGCCGACCTGGCTCCCGAGATAAGAGCTTTGCCGAGGGCTCAACAGCTACCGACGAGACAGAGGAGGACATGACTCCAATTACCAAAGCGAACCTCTTGTTGAAACACGATGGGAAAGTCTTTACGCATCCCGAGTGCATGGCCGGTGTACCCGTCAACAAGATTGATCGGACACACGAATACTGGGACCCAGCCTGGCCGGATATCGTGCCCACGATCGAGCCGACATTGCAGTCATGGCGAGACAAGCTACAAACTGCTTTAGAAAAGGGGCAGACCAGCATGAAGTTCCAACTGGGAAGACAGGTAAACCGAGGAGAGACTATTCTGAAGTTTTTGAGCGACGCCGACTTTTGCCCCTACCAACTAGTGGGAAAGAAGTATATGATGACTCGTCTGGTTTCCTACGACACCATTTTCCGTCTAGCCGACACTCTGCGAACTCTGGAAGGCTTCAAGACTCTTGACATCACCCCTCTGGAGTGGCTACGTCAACGCCTGCAGGAACTCATTATCTTGGATGGACCGGACTTCAATCTGGCCAAGACGATCCATGACTTTTACCACGATTCAAAATACGTGGCTCTGAGACTCGCCAACGGTAAAAAGAGCATCGGAAGACCGTCGGGCATGAAGATGGCGCCAAAAGACTCGCCCAACTCGGCCAGAGGCACCCCAAACAACAAAAAGCGCAAGCTTTTCATCAACGAAGAGTACCCCCTCGCATCCCAGCGTCCGCTTGCCCCAACACCGACACCTCAATTCCAGTCCCAGCCTCAAGTCCATCAGATGCAGCCTCAGATGCAAACCCAGGTACAGCCTCAGGTTCATCCACCTGTCCAGCCTCAACCTCAACCCCAGCCTCCGCCTCCGCCTCAGCCACAAAGTCAATTGCCACCAAGCCAACTTCAATCTCGGCTAAGCGAGACACCTTTGAGTGCGCCGCCGACTCCCGAACTTGCCAGGCAATCCAAGAAGCTTAGGACAGCGAGGATCCCTGGAAAGCTCAAAGATGAAGATTTACACTATGACGGCTTCACCGACGTTGATGACTACAGCGGCGACCATATCGGCCCACATGACTGGGCATTAAACCGGATCAAGTCCCGACTGAACAGCGTTAGCACCGGTGTGACACAGTACTGGCACTGGATTCCGGATAATGGAGAGCAGATCTTTGAGCACCAAGTGCTTGCGGAAAGCGATACTTTGACCTGGGGCATTTACGCCAAGCCAGTAAATTTCCACTTGGAGTTGGAACACATTCAGGAGATGAAATGGGCCACCGACACTTCCAAGGTCATCGTGGTTTGCAAGGACGGCGTTGTGATTTCGCCTGATGGCAAGCCTAGAGGCGACCTCTTGGCTGAGTTTAAGAGGGACCGCACCAAGAGGCGTTTCTTGGTCTTTTGCCGCAAGAAGGGGGTGGAACTGATCAAGGTTGAGGCGTGAGTATTCCACGTCTTTGCGATGACAAGGAAAGGCAGCTAACACAATGTCATAGGGACGTCATACAAAAAGCATGGGACGAATACGAATCGCCAGATGTCCCGGCGATGCCGGACTCGGAGATTGAGTAGGACAATGACGAGGAATTTCAGTGGCTGTGAAAGCACAAACAGAAGAAAGGAATTGGAGGTCTTTCACGTTATAAGGAAGGAGAATGGCGGAGATACCCCTGGTTTCTGATTTCATTGGGTGTCTTTTCCTGCGGCTTCAGTGGAACTTGAGCCTGCAATGGCGTTGGGTTGCGTACCATCGCAGCCATTTTGGTCATCAAGCCATGTCGCCATAAGACATGGTCCTTTGAGTCCCAGGCAGCACATGATGGCACGGGATGCCGTAGCTTGGCTGCTTGCCATAATTGTAATTGGGTGGACGATGCTGCCTGGGACACTGTAGACATGGTGGAGTTTTTGGCTTTCTTGTGGGAGAAGAGGTGCCTTTGAGCATGTCTTGCATTTTGCAGTTGTTCGTCTAGAGTCTTTGCATGGCTCTGAATTCGAGCCCATCTCTCGTGGAATGGACGGGATAGACAGAAGCGTTGAGAGCGGAAGAAACAATGAACCGTATTTCTCAAAGGCCTAGAGGCCTCTCACTCTCGACCCACGACTTTCACTGTAAGCCCCAATGGCTCCACCGCATTGCAGGTCGTCAAAGCCATGTTTGTCTTTGGGGAGATGTGCGTCATGCGGCTCAGAGGCGTCTGTTTGACAGCCCCTTCTCCTTTTCGCGGATGCGACGTCCCGGTCCATGGCACCGGGCTGGCATCTCGTATTCCGGCATTTCAACCTCGGCTATGAATCCGATTGGCAGGGACGACTGCGCCGCGGGACTGTATTGCGACGTTCCCAACCGCTTTGGTCGCCAAGAGTCATCACATATCAGATTGGCCTAGCCGATGCTGGCATGCGGTCGGAGCTGGCGCCTGAGGAGCCGGATACTGTGTTGTCGCGGACGGAGTCGGGGGCCGGCAGATTGGTGCCCCGTCTATTTCCACCGGATGACGGTCATCACTTGGGCATCCTTGGTCCCCATCTGCTCACACCCGCCCACTGACCTTTTGATCGTGGTCAAACCAGGCACCTTGGTTGAGATGACTGCTCGGACGGCTAGCAGCCATGGCCCACTGACTTTCTCAGTGGATCGTGTGTGCCCTGACACTCTCGTCAGTTGCGCTTATCCGTTTGTTTGATGTATCTCTTGTCGTGGAGATTGGTATGCGACATGGGCAACAACATGAGGTGAGCCAGCCAGTCAGTCTTGTTTGTCGAAGACGGCATCTAGGCGAGCTGCATGTCTCCTACGCGGAAGTCTGAGATTCCAACCACTCCTAAAATCCCATGTCTTGCATCCTGGAAACATGGGGCAATCTTGGATGAGGCAGATCAGATTGCCTTTGTTTGGTATCGTTCACTACAAACCCTTGCAAACTACGAGTGCCAACTTTCAAACGTCGGGCCGCGGCATGTCTATCTCAAAGATCATCAAGAAGGGGATCTTGGTTCTCCTGGACTGGCGCTTTCGGGCGATGGAAACGCTGCCTACCGATGTCTTGCACTTTCCGGATGTTTAGCGGTGAAGGTTGTCAGGTTTTGATTCTTCTCCGTGGAGGAATCATCTGAGCTCTTAATAACGAATCCCCCGCGACTCCTCGTTCCGCTGGTCTCTTCCTTCTTCACCTCCTATCCTTACTCTTATTCTCAGCCCTCATCAGACTGTTCTGCGTGGCCCCGGGGCCCAGGCCCAACTACCTTACTCAGTTCGGGCCTTGTTATCGCTCAGCAACTATAGTCGGCAGACATCGCCTCGAACGTCAGCAGGGATATCGTGCTCTCATGTTGCCTCCTTCCCTTCCTACCGGTCACCTTATAATCGGCCTTTCTTTCTCCCCCCTTCTTTATATCAGAATCCTCCGGGCCCACATCTATATCGCACCCACATGAGACACAACTCCACTGAGTATCCTGGCCGACTACGTGTTTTACGATATCGTAACACGACGCGAGATGGAGATCCGGAGCGGTCGTCTCCTCTCTTCTGGGACTACAGAACCTTCGGACTACGATCTGATCTGGATTCCAGTATACATTCGCTCCCATTCCTGTCAGCTTACTTTGTCCGCGCGCCTGCCTCGCTGTTTCATCCTGCTGCCATATACCGTGATCCGGCCTGGGTGACATCTGCAGCTTTTTGTTGCTGCCCTGTCGACTAAAACTCGGTACATGTGGTTGGGCTCCCTTTTTTGCGGAGTCGACAGAAGACTCCGGGCCCTCGCGAGAAAACACCAACGACTGAGGCGGCAGTGGCACCGATCGGACGACACTGGAGGGACATGAAGCGGCATGCTATAAGCATATCACCCTCCTCGATTGGTAGAGTCTCCGCGTATGCCCCCCCCCCCCCTCCCTAGAATCTTGAGGTCCGTCGTACTCTTTCTGACCTTTCTCATCCCACAGATGTGGTCTGGTTTCTGGGATCTCATTTTTCTTGACGTTCTTGGTCGGCACTATACCCCGAGCCCTTTTACAGGTAGCAGACGCGGTACATCGCCTATGTGGTCAGCGCCTTCCTTCGTCCGGACAAAGTCCTCGTTCACGCGCGTTCAAGCAGATGTGTGCACTGCCTCTTGATCTGTCCAAGAGTCGAGATATTTTCGGTGCATACCTATCTCTATGACGTGCTATAACGTCTCCTTTGTTGAAGGATCGAGCTGACAGATGAAGTAGTGTTTCCAAGCCCTCGATATTCCGGCATATAGCTGTTTCCCACAGTCTTTGAGGCCGTCTAGTCTGGTGTCACGCACGATTTCGCCGAGTACGACATGATCGCGCCCCCTTCAACTACCCCGAAATGGGACGACTGTTGAACAGATGTTTCTATACTGGGCCTGTTGTTGATGTCTATTATTTATCAGCGAACGCGCAACACCAGTACTTTGACACGAAGGAGCGACGTGCGATCTCATGTGTCAGCTGGTTCCTCGAACGCAGACCTATATGTTCACGATCTCGTCGGGTTTGACGGAAGTGGTGGGATGGCCGCTCTTCATCTGGGAACAGAACATCAGGCCACCTCAGCCAAAGGCATCCGCCAATGCTCTGGGTATCACCATATTCTTCGCCTTGCCTGAATGATCCGTGTCCGGCTGCCGTATCGTTCCATCTTCTGGCGCCGCCCTAACTAATGACAGCGGCGACCCGCTACCGGAGGAGTTCCATGATCTGGTCAAGCTGGTTAGCATGGCTGTCAAGAAGGATGCGAAGGCCGGCACTGTGGTGGCGAGGTTCTACGAGCTGCTCCTCCTGGTTAAGATCTTCAGGGCCGAGTCGGAGATTGAGAAGCTAGCCAAGACCGAATTGCGAGGCGCTGGTGAAGGAGTTCCTCAAGAAGGGCAACATCACCAGAGGCCAGGGCGACACCAACGCGAAGCTACTAAAGACGGCCATGCAAAACAGCTTGAACCTTGACCTGAAATAGTCCTATGGACTGAAATCTCGGGCAAATCGGGTAATAATGTAAAACTGTTCGAACGGCACAGTCTCATGCTGGTGGGGCCCTTGCTGCTGTGGTTTCCTCTTCGGCCACTTCTCTCTGTATCTATTGCGTACCTTTTGATCAGTTCGTCGACAGAAGCGGCAGTTGAATAGTGAGTCTACACGTCTTGAGAGCAGTGCCATGAGCTAACGTTGTTGTCAGGACGCAAGCCCACCATTCCGATTGCGATGGGCCACGCTTGGCTTCGCCTAGACTACGGCCTGCTGTTGAAGGAATTGTGCAGGCTCAGCCAGACGCTCTTCGTTGTTGCCTGGGACACAGGCGACGGGATACACCAATTGCTGCCGACGGAGTTGACGCGACACCATCTCCCGCCCTTATATTCCACACAGCTAGGAGCATCATCGTGGATGCTATTTTCCGTTTGGGCTTCTTCGGGAGACGCATCTAGGGTGCCAGGAATGATTGGAATCTATCGATACTGCCTCGACCGTCATTGAGGGCAAATTTCAGGTCAGCGCAAATGGTGATTTCCTTTCTAGGAACTCGCTCGGCATGTTTGAGGCCGTATACGAAATCTTTGACAATCACTTGAAGGATCGCTTCGAGGGATTGGCCTTTGTGGACCGGGCAGCTCATTCTGTTCTAGCTATCTCAGCTCTAGGCCATGGGCCCTGGAGCCCGAGATGGAGTTGGCCTCAACAAGCCAGAGGTCTGTCAGGAGGGCTACCTGTTCTCGGCGGTGGCCCAGTGGCTGATCGCGCACCCCGAGGACTTCGCCGACGTCGACACCATGAGCTCCATTGCTAAGCGCTGGAACACGACCATGGCTATGACGAGAGACATTCTGGTGGGTAAGCCCCCGGAGCCCGATCCCGTGGTGGCGGTACGAACACTTGGAAAGACTTCTCACACCTCCGTGCTCCGTTCTGCCCAGCTGGGTTGCGGGCTACCGCAACGCAATCCTGATCGACGATGAGCACGACGTCGTCGAGATAGCAGACGACATGGATGTCGACGTTGTTTCCATCCCGTCCACCGATAACGATGCCCCCGAGGAGAATCGACGCGAGAGCGCTGGAGGACGAGATGTCGTTGCCGCCGTACTCCCATCCATGCACGTCGACGGAGCGGCCCAGAGCGGCGAAGACGCACAGCACCCGGGCGCGGAGCCCCTCGCGCCCATCCAGCACCCGGCCCGTGTTTCGCACGACGAGGGAATGGTGACGGGCCCCGAGGAGAATCGACGCGAGAGCCCTGGAGAACGAGATGCCGTTGACGGGGGCTTGTATAAAGCAAGCAAGAGCCACTTCGTCGGTTTTTTTCTCTGCCGCAGAGTATAAAGACATGCGTCGTTGCTGGGGGGAGACTACCAGTTTGAAGCAAAGCTAGCGAATCAGTAGCATGCTGTCAATTTCGGAGACTATCGAGGAGAAGCCCTTGGCACGAAGTTCAACGCAGATCACCACGATCACACACACCTTTTCTCTCCCACACTCCCAACTATTATTATTGTTCCAGCGGTGAGATGACTTTCATTCACTTACTCGACCTGCCGGTTATCTACCTTATGCGGCCACTCCGACTACGGAATATCCCTTTGACTATCGTTCATTGTCGTGCCGCTGCTTCTCAGCCCTTATATCTCGGCCATGGGCCCCACGGAACGAGGTGCTTTCCGCATGGCGTCGATCATCAATCTTGGATTATTTCAACGTTCTGGCCTCCCGCGTCAACTCGAGTGAGAACGTCCAACGCCACGAGCTCTTTCGGGCGGGTCACTGCTTGTGTCACTGCTCGTGTCTGCCGTCCATAGCAAGGTCGTCGCGCGTGTTGAACGTCGCCCCTGCGCTTTCGCCAACCCACCACATCGATATTGCCACTTGGATCTTTTGACGATTCCCAAACATCATCTGCACGGGCACCGTCTCCCACTGTACATGGCTGCTCCCGTAACAAGAGCCCCGTCTTCAACTAATCACTTTTCACGGACACGCCGGAAACCCACGTAGCCGTGGTAGAATTCTATCACCAAATACATCGATATTGGTCGGAAGTACACGAACCAAGCAATCAACAACTAGGACCTCATGATTTCCTCGGAGCGCCTCGGGCCCTGCTGCTGGACGTGCTCGTCCTCAGCTGCCAGCCCAGCCGGCTGAAGAGGTCGATGAAGACGATATCGTCGGCGCCACGAGTGCCTCTGGTACCCCCCATCGGCCCTGACCTGACCGAGGACCCGAACGAGGGCCATTTCGAGCTTCTCGTCGATGTCTCTGAGGAGATCGACCGCAACGTCCCTACGCGCATGGCGGTCTCTCACGCGAAGGAGCTTCGCAACGCCCAGGTCCGCATTATCTATAACCGTCGGAAGACCGTGGTTAGCCTCGCCTCCCCCGCCCCCGCCCATACCGGTGTCCCCACAGAGGACGATTTCGATCTCCCTGTCGCGGTGTCGCAGGAGGTCGATCGCGAGGCACTCACGAGCATGGCCGTCTCCTTGGCCAAGACCCTCCGCGGGATGAACGTTCGCGTCATCTCTAACCGTAAGGAGGTGATCGTTAGCATGGCCGACAAGGCCATCAAGTTGTCGGACGAGATCTTCTATACCCTGTTGTACTGCTTGAAGAAGAACTTGATGGCCATGGTGAAGGGAGCTCGAAACCTGGACAGCATCATGTCCGGCTTCGAGTACTACGGCAACTCTTAGAACCCCCGCGTCCTTAGAAACCTAATCTGGGGTATTAGCGTTATCTAATCGTATACCGACTATAGCGGAGCGGCCGTTATCCGCCTCAACCTCACCCGGGTTAAGGTATATAATAACTATAAGTACCTCTTAAGGACTCTAGATTCCGACCGGGAGTCCGCCCTCAAGGCGAACCTCCTCGAGGAGTTCAAGATCCTCAACGGCGGGCCCCGTCGCCCTGGGCAGAAAAACGACACCGTTGCCTCGAAGGTGCTCGAGAAGCACTTAGGCATCTCGGCAGACGATGTTCGCAGGATCATCGAGGCAGCCAAGCTTTCGTGGATCCTCGCCTCCGTCTGGGGCCGTGACAGTGTCATGCCCCCCCCCCCCCCTCCCGAACAAGAGCGGGTATGTTTACATCGTCTCCTACGTCCAAACCTCATACCTAGCAATACACTAGATGATTGACTTCCCCGTCGAAGCTTTCACCGACGATACCATCAACCTTACGAAACCACTACCATTCGTTCTCACTATAGGCCATACCAGGGGCCCGCGGAGGCAATCGGCTACGAGTTCATCCATTGCTGTCACACACCTGAGCGCCCCTCAGACTAGTGAAGCGCCCATAGCCGTCGTAGCGAGTCAGCAATACTGCCCTGGGCCCGATTCGAGTTGCGAGACACACGAAAGAGCGGGCCGGGTTGTTCTAACCCTCGCGGCGGTCGCATGAAAGAGTTCATGCTCGACCCTCTTAAGCTTGCTTACGGTGGACTTCAGCTGCCATAGGCTGCTCCGCGTCTGCACCTTCTTCCCCCGCTTCGAAGGCGCCAAAACCGTGTTCCGCGTCACCTAGTCAAGATGGAAGCGGGCAATGTAAGTGCCCGTCTCGTCTTTCATCCTGGCCAAGCCGGTCTACGGACCCTCGGTGTCTGGACTTCCGTTTATCTCGGAATATCGCGGATCGTCGGATCATCTGGGGGCTACAACGAGAACGTATACCAGCGGCCCTCAAGCGACTGCCTATGCGCGTCTATGGTGTGACCGATCGGGTCAACAACAAGGATGATAGTCCCGCTTATTGTTGCGTTCCTCTTGAGTATATACCACCCCTGGCAAGATTCCTCACATCACACCTGCTGTCGCTCCTACGGGATTTCTATAATGTCCTTGGTGCTCTTTAGCACTTATGAGCAGTGCAGTGCGGCCCGCCACGGCTTCCCCGGGACCAGGTACATGGTTCACTTCTGCGGGCGATTCCAAGGAACAACGCAAAACATCAAGTTAGTGGACATATCCAAATATGTTGGGCTTATTCGAGGAGACGGCCGAAGTGATCGCGGGGGTTAGCGAGCACCACGTCATCCAAGTCAGGAAGACATGAGAAGAGCCGATGTTGGCTTGCTCTTCTTTCTTTCCTCCATACATGGAAGTCATCTTTCGCGCTATTAGCGTCGACTTAGCAAGATATTATCATGGAGGACCACGTCACCCACTTTCTCCTCGACCTCAAAGACATTGATTTCACGTTGAGCGTGACACCGGCGCAACTGTGGCAAGCAGGAGGTGGACAGCATGTGAAGATCTCCGTGATCGAAACCCACGGGTCAGAGCTCGCCGGCAGCGATCTTGGGATTTCTTGCGAAGCTAGTCATGTATGGGTGCTTTGCCAATCAATGGTCGGGTAGGTAGCGGATCGATATCTATCAGAGACTCTTTGCTAGACGCTCACATGAGCCTCCAGACGTGGAAGATTTGGACATGTTTGGCCACTGTATATCCGCTCATGCCCATGAAGGCTATTGGCGATGTAGTCACACTAGCAGCTGCTGATGCTACTGTCCGTCTCCATCATCCAGTTACTGCAGCTGGGTAGACAGCATGGAACTGTGCCGTACAATTGGCCCCTCCGTTTACTTTTACTTCTGAGGGATCGTTGGCTTTGGCCAATTCTTCACCAGCCAATTGGCTGCCCTGCTGACGCGCATACCAACACTGTGTCTCTGGTTTCGAGCATGCCGTCTTGAATCATCAACCCAAGCCGGGCCAGCGGGTTGCCCGATACCAGCGGCCTCGTCAAGGCTAGGGAGCGAGAATCCTCCGACAAGGCCATGAACACGGTGTCTGTAGAGGACCTGTTGGGTATGGAGTGGGCCGACGAAATCCAGGTGGCTTGCTTTGCTCAGCACGTCCACTCGGAAAATTACCTTTCTTCGGTATCATCGTATGTCTCGAACCCTGTCACTAGCCACGGACTGACAGCTAGGTTCTCAACTACGATTATAATAGGCTGTGTGGCTCTTTGTGCTGCGGCTTCTTCGAGTTGGGTTGGGAACTATCCCGAGTCGACTACACTATCGGGCGACAGCGGAGGTACTCCGCGCAAGCCAGGTCTGAGCAGCGCGAGAAGAAGGACGATGAACACTGATACTATTCTCATCGACAAGTTTGGGACGAACAAACGCGACAACAGAGAAGGCGATTCACCTTCTTACGACGCGCACACGCAATCAGTCGGGGTGCGGGTGTGGTCAGTATCTAGAATCAATCGTTCGCAGACCAGTCCCATCCGTCACGTCGTCGTTCTCGAAATCGAGAACATCGATCGCATCTGTCAAGAACACGTCCTCAAGACTGCTAGCCCTGGTATGGGTGGCAGTGGAGCTCTATCGGAATGTCAACCTGGAGCCCTCAACATCGACCACAACAGGGCTACAAGCCAAGAAGATCACCATAGGCTCGGATTTCATACCATCCATCACAGGGCAAATCCGAAGAACTGAAGACTCAAGAGGTATAACAGAAGACGCTGTAACGATTGACTAAACGCCGTCAATATACATGTAATTTCTAAAGAACCAACAGACCAACGCTACAAGATCATGATTCTAGATAGTCTCAGAATGAACACTACCGTACTACACCCCCAATTTCGTAGTCAACCAGCGTGCAAGTCGAACGCACTTCTGATCAATAAATCTCCAGTGCAAATCTCCGAACCACAAGGTGAGCACAATTACCACGGTAAAACTGCAAGTCCAAGCCACACCGAGAGAATACCCGGCGTTCTGCATCGCGAACTTGAGACCCAAGCCGAGGAAAGACCTCTCAACAGCCCAGTGAACCAGATACATGCCGAAGCTGACCTCGCCCAGGTATAGCACCCAGCGCGCGTTCAACAAGCGCTGCAAAGGCGGCAGGTTCTCTAGGGATGTTACCAGTATCATGGCACCGACGGCCGGGAAAGTGCGCGCCGGGTCCTGGCCGAACGTGGGGAACATTTCGAGCCACCCGTATCCCACGGCATTGAAGGTGTGGCCATTGATGGGGTAGCCTCCTAGCCAGAGTGAGAATACAAAGACCAGCCACCAGCTGTACGAAGCCGTTCTCTCAAGTGAACCCTCCAGGCTCGGTAGCTTGTTCCGCAAATGGCGGATGTCAGCAAGAGCCATGCCCCAGAGAAAGAGGCAAGGCTGCCACATGTCTCCATCCGCGCCGAGGGTCCAGAAGAAAACGAAAATGATCGCCACCACAGATAGCCGGGCTAGGGGAGATACCCGTGCCAGGGCCAAGCAGCACAGGAACACGAGAATTGATCCCCTGAACTCAACCGACAGTGTCCAGGCCTGAGGCAAGAAGCTGGCGGTGGTGGTCTGAGTTGTGATGATGATGAGATTTTGCCATACCAAGACGAGAAGCGCCAAGATGCCGGTGGCTGGGGCTGCCTCAGGATCCCTGCTTCCGCTATTGTAGTACAATCCGTATGTTTTCAAGACGAGGACAATGAAAAGGAGGGGAATAGTCGGGAAGAATAGCCGCATTCCGCGGCGGAAAACGCTCGATGGAAGGGACCCAATGCAGGCTTCAACTTGTCCACTGTGAGCCTTCTTCAACGGGCTATATGTGAGCACAAAGCCGCTGAGGACAAAGAAGATCATGACGCTCAGGACTCCGCAGTGGATAAGTCGGATGAATGGGAGTTGCAAAAAGTAGTGATTGTTCGCATCCTCTCCCCAACCATGGTTGATGAAAACGAACTAAACACCAGATTATCAGCCATCTTCTCATAATGGTACATCCCGTTCAATGAATGCTCACATCATCAGTGTAGTGGAGGATAATGACGACCATTGCCGCGATGCCACGGAGGCCGTTCAGGTACGACGTTGAGTGGGAATCAGGGACCACGGAATTTTCGTCCCCATGACCGTATGCGTGGGCCACGAACGATGGCACCAAGGTCCAGAAGATGCGTCGTGCATGGGAGCGGCGGAATCGAAACCAGCTCCTTCTGGTGTACTCAATTGGCTTTTCTTCTTCGTACGAAAGTTCAGACAGATCTGCCGAAAGATCTGCTTCCTCGTCTTCAAGGAGTGGCTCGTAGGACTCGCCCGCCTGCTCTCCCGAGAACCAGCCACGTACAGTGTCGGCAGACTCCTTGGAGAGGACCTTCATGGCCGTGCCGAGCTCGCCTTGGTTCAGCATCTCGAGCTGTATTATACAAAAGGGATTGAGAGAAGCAAGGCAAAGAGGTCGTGGCGAGGAGGCGGTCTGGTTTGAAAAGAACTGTTCGAGAGGTAGTATTGTTGCGAGTCTCCCGGATTTCTGCAGTGAATAGGCTTCGCGATTTATAACTCAAGACTTGAGGCTGCGATGTATGAACCCTAGCGAACAAGCTGTGCCGATAAGAAACCGAGGCAATCAGGAATGGGAATGCCAAGGGAGGAGGGCGAACAGGGCCGGATGAGGAATCGCATCCGAATCGGAACGCCGCTCACCAGCGAGTGGTCTGCCCGAGACTCGAGGCAATGCCATGAGAGGCCACAAGATACATCAGCATTCCCAATCATATATAGCTGTGTCTCAGTCAATCCCAAAGATATTCAAGCTTCGACACTAACAAAGGGGGCTTCCAGATGGCACTCATCGCAGTCAGGATCGTAACCCGATATGTTCAAGCCTGGGTATATCAATAGTCGGACTTTGCCCAGGACAGAAGAATGAAAACAACGACCCGGCATCATCGCAATGTTTACTTTCGAATGCATGAGTTCGACCTTTCTGAGCAACTAAGTTGTTGAGCCTGCACTAGTGTATTCATGAGGCTAATCGTTCCGCCCGCGCCACCATGCTTTTGGGTTGTGAGACATGGGCGGTTAAGTCAGGGGCCAGGGAGATCTCGGCACTGATGGGGTTAGTCGCCGTTACACACATTTGGGAGAATCCATTGCGAGACATTCCATACAAAACGTGTTTGTTACACGATTTCGACCCCCTACCAAGCTTGCGCGAGGAGATTCGCTGCCACGCTAGAGGGAGTGTCGTGATCTCATGAACAACCCCACACCCACATTCCACGATCCTCTGTGCCTGCCAATAAGCTACGGGAGTTGCTTACCGAGTGGCGAGGACCATAGTCTCGGCCCGCGACAAGCAAACATTCCGATCATAGGAGGACAAGGTTGAGA